GCTAGATAACGACAACGTTCCCAAACAGCGCACCTATGTATGTTACCTATGTCCCAAAGGACGAAATAACCGTCGCCCTCTCCAGGGAAAAGGTCATCAATAGGATAGGGAAGCAAAATCCCAGCCAAAAGATGAGCTCATCTTCTGATGAGGATGCTCCGTATGGATAGAGAAAAGAACTACCTTCTACACCTTCTCAAAGACGATTCCGGTTTGGAGGATCTACGGAAAGTGGAGTTCCGTCTTTTTCTTAATTTCTCCCAAATAACCGTCAGGGTGAACAGTGAACCGAAAGGGCCTAAATCCATTGGGGAACCTGAAACGGCCCCAAAGGCTGCAGCTGGAGCGGGAAAGGGAAGTGGCGGGTCTGCGAAGGCAAAAAAGGAGGGCGGCCCGGAAAAGGAAAAACTCAACGACGCGCAAGTCAAGAAAAATAAGGAGAAAGGGGACCCATGTGGAGCCTTTTTCTAAAGGGCTAAAGCCCATAGACGTGAGCCGAAAAAAATGATGTGGCTGTGAGGTGCATCCAAATAAATCTACGACATGCTAGGGCATCTACGGATGTTCTGGGTCATAGGTTTGTGAAGGATCACCTCGACATCGCCCTTATCCAAGAGCCTTACATAGTGAAGGATCAGGTTAAGGACCTAACAATTGAGCTATTATATGATAATAAGATTAGGGGTAGGGCTAGAACCTGCATCTTGTTTAGTAAAAGACTAACATATCTAACATAAAGGCCTGCCAGAAGAAATCTATCAGGCGCTTCAGTCCACAGATTAGAGTCAATTCAAAATGCTCCTTAAGGAGGAGGTTGGCTCCATTCCTGCTTCCGTCAAAACAACGGTGGATATCGAAGTGGCCCTCGGGGCCCTGACGATGGCTATCACTGATGCCTATTCATGGCAGCTGCTCCGCCAAGCAAAGGCGGAGCAATAGGAGGTGCCCGTGGTAGAATAAGGAGCTTTTGGGACTTAGACAGAGGACCAAAAAGCTCTTCAATAGGGCCAAGGCGTCGGGTTCGTGAGGGGAGTATACAGACTCACTCATGACATACAATAAGGAAATAAGGAAAGCGAAAAGGAGCTCATGGAGGGCCTGATGGAACGGACTGATGGCTCCACGACCGAGAAGGGAAAGCAGACGTTGGAGCTGATGGCCTCAACGCACTTTCCTGACTCGGAAGTTCTTCGGAATCACTCGAATACGGTCATTGAACCAGGGGCATCTTGGCCCAGGAGAGATTACTGGCAACGGTCCCGCACGGTCTTCCAATATATCGCTGGGGCGTTGTTGGAAATTTTTCGGGCCAGCTATGCATGGGGTTATATGCCTACTGCTTGAAGGGTGGCAAAGGTGACGTATATTTCGAAGGCAGGTAAGCGACCAAGCAACCACCCAAAGCCTTTTCGTCTCATCAGCCTTACTTCTTTTTTATTGAAAGTAATGGAAAATGGTGGTTGATAGGTTTATAATGAACGACGCACTGGGAGCCAATCCCTTGCATGAGTCTCAGTATACCTATCAATCAGGAGGTCTACTACGCTCGTTCTACAGGGTCTATTGGTGGAACTCACTGGACGTTGGGTGCTTTCTTGATATTGAGGGTGCTTTTGATAACACCCCATATCGTGTCATCTGCGAGCTGTTGCACAAACGTTTGATTGATGCAACCACGGGCAGATGGGTTGGCCGGATGTTACGCGATAGTATCATTAGATCCATCATAGCTGACGACACACTCTCCATTTTTGCTGCGAAAGACGTGTCCACAGGGCGGGGTTTTTTTTGCCCCTCCAGTGGTCCATCGTGGTGGACGATCTACTTGCTGTGCTCAGGGGCTCTGGGGCGCATATCTGGGGCTACGCCGACGATGTGACTTTCGCCATACGCGGGAAATTTGAGGGCACTATTTCTGACCTTCTGCAGCAAAATTTACGTGTTGTGGAAGGGTCAGGCCCAGGTTACATCCAGACTTGTCTGGAGCTGCCATACTGGCATCGGTAAACAGTATGACACTTATTTGAGTGTCTGGCCACAGTGGACATGCGGGCAACGAGATTGCCAATGGAGTGGCGCGGAGGGGATCTGGGGCTGACTTTGTACAGCCGCTGCCTTTCTGTGGTCTGCCTTCCTCCGTCGTGCGGGCTAGGCTCGCCTGTCTGCTTGCGACAGAATGCGGTCTTTACTGGCGGGACACGAAAGAGTGCCGTCAGGCGAAGATGTTTCTTCCAACATTCTCGAGGAAATTCGTTGCGGAGCTGTTGGGGATGAGCAGAAGTCGGGTTCGCGCTATTGCGAATTTTTTCACGGGCCATTGCCTGGTTAGATATCGCCTGCATCGACTGGGAAAATCGGGCTCTGCCCAGTGTAGATTTTGCGGGAGCGATGATGGAACTGCCGTGCACGCACTTTGCGACTGCCCGGTACTGGCTGTACGGCAGTGCAATTGTTTTGGACAGGGTTTTAATAAGTATTCGGGAACGGGGATATTGTTGAAGGGGCGTGGGGAGGCTACAATAAGTCGCGAATGGCTGTGGTGGCCCGGGGGATACTCCTTCCCCACTCGGTTCCCTTGAAAAGAATCTACAATCTAACTCACATATATGAATATTTTAATAATCGAACTTCCAATAAAACTTAAAAATAACATTTTATTTGAAACCACTTTATTTTATTTAGGACATAAATGATCAGTTTAAAAGAAAAAAAATTTAGTTGACCATGTCAACACTGTGATAACAATACGAATCAATATTTTTAAAACCTTGCCACGGACTGAATTTCTTAGTAAAGTGACATGGAATTAAATGACTGAATTTCTAAATATTGAATATTAGAGTTCTGTTTGCTACTGAAAGTAACTGGCGAATTTTAAAGAAATTCGAATGACATAAGCGAATTTTTTTTTATTACCTAGAAATTTTCACTTTTCTAGATATATGTTTATTAAAAACTTATTATAAAGTACTGAATATTTGATAGAAATATTAAGACATTTTCAAAATACAAAAAATAAATGCACAACTTTTTGCCAAAGCTAGAAGCTCTTGTGCTACTTAGTGTATAAAACCTTTGCAACAATAATTGATTGCATTTAGTAAACAAAAATTTTTAACGCATGGCAAAAACTTGGTTTTTTTTGCGCTCTGCTAATTTTGGTTGAGTAAATCTTTGGTTGAGTATGGGAATTTTTTGTATATGTAATGGTTTTACGTATTTATAACCCTATGATTTTTTAAGGATATACCAAGTACTTTTTAAATTCTTTTTAAACTTTAAAACTATATGACATCAACTTGTAAACGACGTTTTTTACAAACTTGAATATTTTTAATAATGAAGTACGTTCGATTTTCCCAATCCTAATTTTCTCTCTTTTTTTATTTAAGCAACGACTTTAATTAAAAAAGGAACTGTATTTTTCGATATGTTAAAAAAAAATTTCAATAACGTTTGTAAACGAAATACAGATATCGGCATTTGTTTGTGTTTAAATGTATGTTATGTATGAACAACGAAATATGTTAAGTGTCACACATTTTTCAGAAGACAGAAGCACGACTGGCTGTACGTATGTGTTTTGTTAACCTACTCTAGATAGAACCGTTGCATAATACTCACATACTTCTTTTTACCTCTTTTCACCCCTCTCTTACTGCCTCTTTCTTCCTCTTTCTCATATGTTTTTTCACTCAATTTCAATACATTAAACACAATAAAGTATACATATTTTGAGATTATGTCGCTAACAATAAAACTAAACACAAAAATATAAAATCTACATTTTATAAAAACTACGATTTAAGTTACATGCATATATGCATATATGTATATCTATCTTGCTTAATCATTCATTACGCTAATGAAATTAAAAAAAAAAAAACATTTTCTTATTTTCACTTTTACCTTAGTAGTCACAATAAAAATAAAGTTTGGTCAAACCAATGGTTTGTAATTTAACACTTTTCCCTTCTAAAAGTGAAAATACTGCTTTTAAAAACAATATAGCTGTAAAATACTACATTATTAAAGTCACCTTTGTTCATATACGAAAATATTTCAAATATTGCATACATTTAAAATGAGCTATCTATGCAATCTTTGAAATAAAACAAAAAAATTGAAAGAGGCATTAGCCTCACGAATTATATTTTTTAATGGCATGGCATTTATCACTCGCGCTCTGTATTAATAGAAATTTGGAAAAGTTTGCAGTTTCGGTATTTTGATTCCTACTACCTGAAGTCTAGAAGAAAAACGATATCAAAAATTTGGGAAAAAACGGATTTTAGATAACGGTAAACTCTTACGATCATTTTGTTTTTTTTTAAATTTAAATATGGTGGGTTGCGGTAGAAGCCAGCCACTATTTCTTGTCGTTTGCAAAATTTAAAAAATTGTTATGGTTTCTGGAACAAATAGTTAAAAAGATCATTTTTGGACTTTGCGGGCTATAACTTTCAGAGGGCGGGGGGGGGGGGGGAGGGCTATAACTTTCAAAGTCGAAATTCAGCATAATCAAAGGCATATTTACATATATATGTATGTGACTTGTTCACAGTTTGTGCGATTGTGTATTGACTCATAAGAATGTGTAGTTTCTTTAAAAAAATCAAGACTTTGTTTTATTGTAAAATCAAATGTAAAATCAAAAATTTCACTTGTATTTTCCATATAAAAACACAAAATTACAGAAATGAAGTTTGCCATTCTTCTCCAACTGCTACTTTATGCCCTTCTTGAAAGAAATGCAGTTATGTTGGAAAAAAATAACTTAAAAAAAATTAGTTTCCGTAATTATATATGTGGGTATATACACACACTCATAGGTATTAATAATTTCTTTAATAGTGAAATTTCTATAAATATTTTACAATAAAATTTATAATTTTTTTTCAATATTACATTTTTTAACAAGAGTTTGAAAAATAAACAACTTTTGTTTATTATTATACATGGGGTTTATATGTTAACTTTTCTTGATAAAAAATACTTACAAAACCCATTCTGTTCACAAACTCTGCTTTTACTAACTCTGAATGTTTTTAAATGAGAATAATTTTATTACCTGAAATTAAAAACAAATATTTGTTAAGTAATAATTAATATAATTAAGATAAACATTTGTACATATACATATGTATACTTAACAAAAAAGGTTATTTTCGGTTTTCAGTATGTATAACCATATCAAAACGGCAAGTGCTTGAAAAGTTTTTGATCTTGAACGGTATCGAAATCGAAATAGCGTATAGTGAGTTTAGCAAGCTATTTAATACAAATTACAAGAAGAGATTAACAGCTGATGCGCCAGAAAAGAAATTCCGAAAATTAATAATTTAAATTGTAATACTAATTTGTAATTAGGTTTGTTTTATCATATTTTGTATTAGTTAAAGAAGTATGTATAAATTAAACGACAATAATAAGTTTTTAAAATTAAGTCGATCAGTGGTTAGTGAAAATTAAATTAACTCCACTTAAAATTAAAAAGTTTTGGGAGAACGGGAGAATTTCATTTATCAACCTTTTGAAAGATTCTCCTATATTTATTTATATATGCATAATAAATAACACATTTATATTCATATATTAATTTAAGTGCTTAAACTTTTATTTAAAGTTTTTCAAAATTGCAAATGTAGAATTTTATATATACTTATCGTACGTATAATAAATATAACGAAATCATCCACTTGTTCAAATAATACGACTTATGTTCTATAATCGCAATAGCTGGAAAAAAAAATTTTTGAGAACCGTCTACAAAATTTCCAAACATGATTTTTAAAATGATATTGTTTTAAAAAGCTTTCAATAATCTTAAAAGCTTTTCCCTTATTTTCTGTCTAATTTTGTAGTCTTATGTAAGTTTATATATGTACAAATAATTTTAACCTTGTGATCATAATAAAAAATCAATATAAACTTAAATGACATTGTAAAATTTAATTCTATTGACGATATTTGACTTTGAAATTTTGATAGTGTGCATAAATACAGGGTGTTTCGCATAAGGTGGCAAATAATTTCAGGAATGACTCTTTGATTAATTTTCAACAAAAATTGTATGGGAGGGGAGTGCAGATATAGTTTTTTTACAACTACAACCTGTTCAAAAAAAAGGTACCAGAATTTTCCCACATATAAATTAACTTATAACTTCAGAACCATACAACATAGAGTTATCATAGAGCTTGTTTTACAGGTTATTAATTGTTCTTTATTCTTGTTCTCACAATTAATTTGATTTGAGCCATAGTTTTCGAGATATAGTTTATCAAAGTCAGATTTTCTTTTTGTTTTTAATTTTTTTTTACAAACCTCGAAATTTCTTGAAAATTTCTGCGTTTTTTCGATGCCTTACGATCAAATCTAAAAGTTAACCTATATCACATTTTCCTCTATCTCTCAGAGTTTTGCCAATAAAACATGTGAAATGTGTTTAAAAAACATGTGGAAAATGCATATTTCATACATTTCGTACGAGTATACCTGCCCCTCCCCCCCACGCAAATGTTTGAGAACTTGACAGCAGTTAGTCAGAAAAACGGAGGTAGGAGGTCCTGGTGGACATCAGTATTCCTGTTCTACGACTCCCAGGAAGAATGTCCACATTCAAACTTGAGCAGCCTGGAGGAGCACGGTCAACTGCCTTACAATCACTTGTGCGCTACATAGTGATCCCTGGATTTAAGGGACTACACCATGTCTAACTTTTTAAATATTGAGCGGGCCTTGTCGAGAAAGCAGCTAAACGTCATAAATGGTTTGTTTTAAGGGAATCTTAATCTTGTCTTTGATCGGGCCGCTGGGTGCGGTTTGGAAATAAACCCTCGTAGGACGGGACTAGTTATCTTCAAAAAACGAATGAGACGAAACTCCCCTTCTCCTTTGAGAGTAGATTTTTGGGACTAATCTTAGAATCTAAACTAAACTGGAGGTCCGACATCAGGGAGTGAGCTACTACGCTTTACTCGTGCGACAGTCATGCGTGAGAAGTGGATCATCGAGCCACGCATGGTTCGCTGGTTCTACACCGCAGTGGTGAGACATGTGCTGATTTATGCTGTTCTAGTACGCTGGCCTAGGCCCATCTGCATGAAACTGACAAGCAAGGTCTAGGGGATGGCATAGATGTGCGTTAGGGGAACGTTGACAATCGGCTCTCTGCAGTAGCTGCAATGATGATGAGGAGGAGACTGTGATCCATTTTCTTGCTCATGCTCAGCTTTGGTACGGGGAAGGCGCAGATTTCTTGGGTCGCATTTCTTTTTTCTAGTTACGGACCTGGCGAATGTAAATGCCTAAACCGGTTTATAAAGGGGTCGGGCTAGTTCATGTGAGGGTGGGGATGCAGGGATCAAGCGGTGTCACAGCGGGTTTACGTGATCTAAGGAAATCCTCGGATAGCTGCGTCAACCTAAACCTAATGGTAAATCAAATTGAATTTTAATGATTTACATCATTTCCTTAATTTAAGCAGTTCTATTATTAACTCTTTGAATATGGTATAGTAATACATGCCTATTATATACACAAGAAAATACACAAGTATATTTGAATACTTAAGTAATTACCTCACAAATGCATGTGTATGCTAAAATAATGCAGTAAGTAACGTACGTATACGTAACGTAAACATAGTCAAATTAGTCACTTATTTGTATTTTTCTTTTTTACAGTTTTAAAGATAAATGACCCACAAAAGGTTAAAAGATCGGGACGTAAAAATATTTTCACTTAACTTGTTTATAACATTACGTATGCCTTTATATAGAAATTTCTTATTTTCTTTTCAAGTACATCACCTTTGAACGTTTCCAGTTCATTAAGTTTTTTATATGCATACGTACTTGTTGTACATATATGTATACTTCTTTTGTTTTATTTTTATTTTATTGCATCTATATTATTGGAACTACTTTCATTCTTTTATAATAAAACAAATTTTTTTAGGGCAAAATACTTTCAAATGTATGCATGCAAAAATTAAAACAAAATTATTTTGGAATAAAAAGTTTTTCTGATTTTTGAGTTTTAGCTGCTAAAAATCTTTAAAAAATATGCAATATCAAGGATACCTGTTAGATAAATGTGTGCGTATATAATCGGCTATTCAAATTTTGCAATTCGATTGTAAATTAAAGTAAAGTACACGCACAGTCTTGTTTACTGGAAGTAAGCAATTTTAATAAAATGCCTGCCAATTCTCATGAATTTGAAATTCACAATACAAAATCAACTTGATGCAATCAAAGCAATATTTTACAGCCAGTTGTTGGGTTTTTAATGAAATATACTATTTCAAGATAATGAAGGATAATTAAAAGATAGAACAGATCTATATATGCACATTTTTTCTTGCCACATATTTTGTGAACTAAATGGCATACTAACAAATTATTATGGACTGAAAGTACTAAAGTACATAAGGTAAGTGTAGCTAATACTGACAGTGGCGGTAATACTGACATATATGAGGTTTTTTATAATTATTAAGAGATTTTCTCTATACAGCATATATATATATTTTTATTTCTAGATTAATTCAAATTATCGCAATACTTCCTTTTATTTAGTTTTGAAATAACTCCAAAATATTGAGCATAAATCAGTTTTGTTTCCATAGACATAGCAATGGTGGGTTGAATTGGAGAATTTCTTATACTTTTTGCTTAATTTTTCCGATTTTGTTTTTATTGCTTTTTGACTTATTTGACTGTTAAAAATATATGTATTTATATTAAATTAAATATTTTGATTATTTTTTATCTTATTTTATAAGTAATTCGGAGTAAAAACATTAAATAAATAAGAATTTTAACAAATAATTTCTGTCAGTATTAGAAACATCTAAAATTCGACCATGCTTCTATTACTGACATATGTGTCAGTAATACGTCAAAAATCCGTATTTTTATAAATTACGTCATTTTTAAAATATTTAATTTTTTATTTTCGTATTTATTTAATTAAAATCGAATTTGAATTTTCTTTCTAATGTCCGAATTCTGACACTAAGAATTTACTACAGGTTCGGAGTATTTTACCTTTAAAAACTGGTGTCAGTAATACGATCTAAAGAGGGTCAATATTATGTACAAAATTATGTCAGTATAAAGTTTTAATTTTGATATTTATTTTAATTAATTAAAATAATTTTTTTATACTTTAAAATTAATTAAACTATTTCTGTCGAATAAAAATCGATTACATTTGTGAAAACCTATATCTGACTACGACCTTTTTACCTTTTTAATAGTGATATTCGTCTAACAAATTGTGTGTCAATATTGTATACAATACTGTCAATAAAACAGTGTCAGAAAAATTATGAATTAAAAAATATTTTGATTAAATAATTTTATAAAAAACATTATTCTCAATTATCCAAATTATTCAAAAAATCGGAAACACGATCATTTATTGTATCCCACATATAAAATATCTCACGCCAAAGTTGAATTTGTTGCGAAGTATGTCAGTAATAGGGACACTTACCTTATTACAAAAACATATTTTCAAGAACTAAAAAAATTGACATTAGACTTAGTTATTTATTTTGTTTTTTGGTAAGTAAGTATGTCATACCTAAAACTGGGAAATCAAAGAAAATATTAAAATTATGTATAAAAAGAACAAACATTTGTGAATATATATAAACCTAACTACACTATCAGTAAGTGTAATAAAAGTACTTAGTGCGAAAAATTAATTAAATGTATAAGTATACATAAGCATAAGGTTATCATAATATATGTTTTATATGAGAAAATTTTAGACGTATTGCAACACATCTATTGAATTGTAGCGAGTACATACATATATTATATAATAGAAGAAGTTATCACGCTATATTTTTTTTCATCATATTTGTTCATGGAATTACAATTTTACTATACTCGTATCAACTACTTATACTAACTCGATTTTCTTCAAAATACACAGCTCATAATTAATTTTCATGTTCAATATAATAACCACCTGATTTGCTTTATATACTTATTGTTTTAAATCTACATTTTTTTTAATGTGTAATATGTATACATACATAAGTATGTAAATATATATAATTTCGAATTCTAAAAAAAATCAGCTTACTTATAGCTTGAAAAATCAGATTACGAAAAATTTTTGCTCTAAGTTTTTTCTACTAAAAAATGACCTCTCGGAATGGAGTTGAATAAGTAATTCAAAAACATATAAAACCAAAAACTTTTAATTTGTTAACCAAAAACTTTTAATTTTAAATGTACATAAAGTATGTATATATGTATATTACTTTTGATTCGTTTTATTTCTAGAAGATGGGCAAATCGATCAAAAAAATTTTCAAATATATGTAAATGAAATAAAAAAGTATAGGTAAACTGCTTGTCACAATTTTTTTTGCTGTTTTCAATAACTCTTTTGAAATACTCACCACGAAAAAAAAATTGTTAAAATATGCGCCAGTTTATTGGTTAGTAAGATTATGTAAATTTTGAATTTAATTTTTTTTGAAAAATTATTTAAATTTTAAAATATGTTTTTCGAATTTCTGGAGGTAAAAATGTTATAAGTTGCATAATAACGAAAGAAAAATTTTGTGAGATAAAGGAAAATAAGTTATAAAAAGAATATTAAGTTTTTGTAAACGGGCGATTAATAAATGCTTCTAATCTAGAGTATAAAATTGGACTATAAATTTTTATAAATCAGGAGACCAAACTGAAGTTGTACAGTTATTCAATATGTTTCTCAACAAAGCATTCGGTTACATGCCTTAATATTTAAGCCTGAATAAAAAAATTTGAAAATTGTAACCGAAGTACTATGCAATCATTCCAAATATTTTAGCCATTAAACTGCAAAGCATTGTTCAAGCTTATAAAAAATATAAAACAAATTTATCTTTTTTTCATATTGAAGTTTAAGTTCGTGAAAATATTAATTAATATTTTTTTTCACGATCATCGCTTTGTATATTATTATATCGAGTACGTCACATTACTTACATTTTATATGCTATTTTTTTCTAAATTGTAGTTGTATATCATTCACAAATTGTTTGAAAATAAGGTATTCTCGTCTTCTATTTCATTTTAAATTAAGCAAAAATTTAAACATAAAATTTTTTATGTATGAAATTTAAAATTCAAGAGAAAAAAAAATCTTGCAAACACTTTCAAACTTGTCTTTTAAATATATAACCAAAGCGTTTCAGCATCGGCATACCTAAATATGTAAATATTTTTTTGTGTTTTAATCCAAAAAAGACAAGTGATTCGTTTTTAAATATTATTTTGAAAATGTTTTCTTTGAACAGGTTGCATTGAAACACGCAGCTTTTTTATAAGTTATTTCATTGAACATGGAAAAAAGGAACAAAATAAAAAATACCTGTATACCAATCGAAATGCTTCAAAAACCTGTTTACCGATTTTATTAGATGTATGAGTGAGCATATTGTATGCGCAGTAAGATATGAACTCATAATATTAGTTTTTCAAGTAACAACAAAATACCGAAGTATTTTCAACGTTACTTAAAAAACTGAAGTACGTTACTTAAAAAACTGAAGTTACTTAAAAAACTGAATTATAAAATTTATCCACAAAAATCAAATAAAATTTTTGAAATAAAAAGCAAAATCACATAATATGTAACTATTAATAAAAGAAAAAAACACTTTTAATTATCTTATTTGAGCTTGTGTAAAAGATACAAGCAATAAAATATGTACTTTATTAGCAATATGGTACTGATATTACGTGGGAGAAATTTTCAACATAATCTTGGGAATTGCAGTGGTTGCGTTCTTTAAAGAGCAGAAACACTTTTGAGCAGACATACTGGAGGTAATTCCCAATTTGAAAAGGCAAGAAAATAATGGTTTGATTTTAAACGGCAAGAATATTTTGCGGCGGTTTCTAAAAGGAAATGACGTAAAAATTTATGAAAAAATTGGAACTACTTGAAGTTACTAAGTTAATGAATATTTTTTAACTTTAAAAAGTCAAGCTTATTTTTGGTACAAAAAAATCTTAAGTTAAAAGCTCATTTGACAAAAAAAATATTCCTACTTAATTCTGGTTTTATAAGAAGGAAAATGTACGTGTATTCACATACTTGAGTACTTATGTATTTATTTGTTTTTTAAAATTTAGGAGATAAGTAAGTGCTTATCACAATTCAACATTAAAATGGAGTTTATTTGTACAAATTTTAATCAAAAAATTTGTATTAGCTAAATAAGCACACATGAATGTAGATAATGTAAATATACTTTAACACATACGTTAACTAAGTGTGATCATATGTAAGTATAATCTTATTTTACAAATTTATTATTATTGTTTTTTTACTTTGACTGTTATTGTTAGACTTTAAAAATATAAATGCCACTACTGATGTACTTTAGCTACGACCATTTATTTATATCATTATCATAATTCAAATTCTTATTAAATACTTAAATTATATATAAACATAATAATATGTATGAATAAAATGCGTTCTACTTATAAAACATACCCATGTGCATTATATAAAATATGGGAACTTTAACTACATACTTATAACTTATTTGTTTAATCTTTTCAGTTTATGAAAATTGTTAATTGAACATGAGTATGCCTAAAAGAGATCTATGAAAAAAATATTGTTTTTCCGAATAAATATTTAATAAAACACATGTATGTAATTATGTATGTACTTTTTGTACATGTATATGTATGTACTTGTTGAAAAATGAGATATATATTGGACTCATATTGGAAACTAGAAATCTTTTGGGTCTTACATACGCATTTATATATAGACGTACTCATGGATACACAAACATACTTGAATACAGTGTAATTTCGCGTTGTTTCTGAAAGTTTTATAACAAATACAGTTTTTATCAACTGCAAAACAAAATGGATGTGAACTTATGTATTTATTTATAAAAACAAGTCTGAATAAGCAAATAAGCGCATTTTCTTGGTTTTTAAAGATGTAAAGAAATCTGCCTTAATATACATTACATACACCCATAATGCCAAAGTTTCCTTAGTAAACACGATAGTTAAGAAAAAAAAAATTATTCGAATTTCGAAAATTTAATTTTTTTTTTGGTGATTCACTTTTTCTGAAAACGAGTAAGAATACTCCACTGAACGAAAAATTACTTCGGGAAGAACTTCAACTTTCCGTTAAATTGGAAAATTTTTTTTATTTAAAATGATAATGTTGTAGAACGCGTCTTAAAATTCCAACGTAATCTGAAATTTTCTATGTCTGACTACAGAGAACTCTACAAAGAACTAGTTAAACCACCACAGCTTGATTACTGACTACCTCGTCAAAGAAAAAAAAATTGTTATTAACATACATACATACCTACCTACATTTGTGAAATTTATTAAAATATGACGAAAAAAAATTTAAATCTTATTATTTATAAATTCTTTTTATGCGATTTCTAGTACATTTTAAAACATTATTTGGTTTCATGCGATTTTTTTAATAAATGGAACGTATCCATCATTTTGCATATAAATGTACGTCTTTTTTTGAGCGATTTCTTTATATGCGGATTTCCCTAGAACACATCTACCGCATAAAAAAAGATCGAAGTGTATATAATATATATGCATACATATGTCAGTTATGTAGAACTAGTCTACAAGTATGCCTATTATTACAACCGCAATAACTGTTAAACCCTAGGGATCATATTATTATTTTGTTTTATAAATTTTTATATTTTTTTAAATTTATCAAATAAGGTCCTAATTAAGAAGTGAATGAATAGTCTGAAGGAATAATAAACATTAGTACACACTCCTATATTCCTCTCGCTCTATCCAAAATAATATGAATCTTATTTTCATTTTTTTTCTTTTTTTAATGGGTTTTTCGCTATATTTTATATGCGTTAGTATGTTTTTAGTATGTGCATTTTATTGTAAAGTAACTATTTTTTGTTACACTTCTGAAGAATCTGCTTATCTCGAAATGTGGATATGTACATATATAAATATGTACATATTATAAGGCACTTTAAATGAAATTTAAATGAAATACTCATGTACGTACATACATACATATACAATTTGTTCGCTTGTACTGACTTTTTTCTAATTTGTGTAAAAAATTTTTTACACCTGAAAATAAAAGATTTAAGCTGATATAGTTAATCCTCTGATGACTTTTTCGCAATGGTTATGTATGAGAAAATAATTTAATTTTTGATTCTTGCACACTTAAAGAACTCACCGTTTTTGGCTTCATGTAATCCTTTTCTTGTCTTTCAAATTTAATCAATACCAAAATCTGGCGAAGCACATATAGGTATAATATGTATTACGTGTTACGAATATCCTTATGCGATAAATAATATCGAACGTCTACAAGTTTGTGTATATCCTTTAAATATTGAAGTGTGCAATTACTGGCTTTAGTTTCTCTAGAATATAAAATTTGCTTAGATACTTAATTTTTTACCGAATCATTTAAGAAATTATGTACATATGCATGTATCTTTTTTTGTTATATTTTAAGTATTAACACTAAAACTTTTATATGCACCCAGAGAAATAATTTACAATTTTTATTTATAAGGAATAAAACTGGCACTTTGTATTATGGTCATTTCTACTGTGTATTATCTTTTAAAGCTTTTACTATACATGCAAACATATTATATTTTTTAAACTATTGCATACAAATATATTTTTATATTTACGAAGTAAAATTATATTCTGTTTATTTACTTTTTTTTAATGTGGGTTATAAAAATTTATTTTCACTTGCATTCTTATAATTTAAATATGAGTAACAGATTATAAATCGTCAGCATGTTGTCATACAACATAGTTATATAAAATATGTTAATGATTTACTATAAAAAATTATTTATGTGTGTACGTTCTTTGTGTATGAAAAAAATAAATAAGCAATCCGATAATAAAATATTAACTCACTAACTTAAGCGACGATTCAAACGGGAATGATGTGAAAATGAAATGTTTTGGGAAAGAAAAATGAAAATTTGTTTTAGATTACCAAGTGTTTCGCAATAAGAACTGGCAGCACATATATAAATATGATATGATTAGAATAATGGAATATGGACTATGGTGTATCAATTCCATGTATATACAATTACTCAATACTCGATTTCATTTTCAAACGATTTTTTAACATTGTTGCTGAAATAGTTAAAAGTGAACAAAAAGGTTAACAATCAGGGCTGTCGTTTTACAATTTCACAGAGCAGCCAATATTATAAAAAAGGGGACCTTTTAAGTTTGAATTAACCCGTTTACCTAATGTTGTAGTACAAAAAATACTCCTACGCTCTATCTTGTAAATCTCTTCCATTCCATCTCTATACTAGGTAAGTTAAACTCATTTATCATCACGGGTTTCAGCACAATAAAAAAACTTGAACTTCTAAATTATACTCATATTTTGATTTTTATTATTAATTTTAAAAAATATAAAACATAAATTTAATACAGTCATACAAAAAAATATAAAATCAATTTTTTAAAGAAATTTAGCAGCGTTTTTCTGTTACTAAATATTCAAAATTTGCTTGAATTTAATTCGCTGTTGTAATTTTTAATATTTTTAATTTTGGTTGAACATGTTGATATGTTAATCGTTATTTTTTAATATCGAAAACTATTCTCCACACAATTATGTGCTTTCGAACATGGTTAAAACACGCTTAATTGATTTATAGGTAAATAATTATAAAATTTAGTAATTTCCACTTCTCTAAATTTTATAATTATTTATGATTAAATTGAAACAGAATCGAGAAATGAAAAAGTATACACATAGGTTAAATTCATTTTGACATCTATTAAAATCCAAAAATCTTCTTTCAAATTTGGTTTTTAATAATTTATTTTAATTAGAGTATTCGGAAAATTTCAAATTAACTTCACTGCTGTTTACAAATATAAGAAAATTAAACTATTTCAAATACATATATAAGTACTAGATTTATAGAACTCGCTTTCCACTTTCCGAAATAAACTTTTTTTTTTATTAATTAATTATGTTATATTACAACTCAGTCAATAGACCTACGAGTATCTAGTAATTTTGTTTCCAATTCTACGTTTTTTGTTTACAGGTCGTCTAGTGACAGCAGTCTTCTCCTTGGTTTCCGAGTCTGTTTTAAAACCCGTTAGTTCGTGGAGTAAGTAGTTCATTTCGATTGTTGAAAAGACGAAATGGCAGTTCTTAGACAGTTGTTTTCTATCTTAAGCTCCATGATTTCTTTATTTAGTCTATTGCAAAGATTTTCTATTTCAGCTAATTTTTTGCGCGGAATTGCATTTTCATTTGGTACATTACTGTTAGGAATATTTTTAGTACCCTTGGTGGTACCAATTTGATCCGGAATCACTGTTAGGAATATTTTTAGTACCCTTGGTGGTACCAATTTGATCCGGAGGAGTGCGTTTAGTTAATGTTCTCCTACCAGTGACGCAAGTTGTTGGATTGGACGTCGATGTTAATGCATAGTGCAATAGTTAGCTTTGCCGAGAATCCGTAAGGCTCCATGAAGGGTGATTCCTTTCGTACCACCTCGGGTAATCAGTCCTGCAATTTTTCCCATTGCATAATACGATTCGTGTAATCTTCGACAGGAGCCCTTATATGGTACTATCAGCCGCGCCAGTTGAACCATGGTTTTTGCAGATGTTGATACTCCTCTTGGATTCTAATGGACCCGTACGACAAGCATGCCTTACTGCAGATTTTTCTTTGCTCCACCTGCCGGGCCCCACCTCTTGAAACAAAATAGCGTGAAAATTCGATTCCGGCTAAATTTTACATATAGTTGTGTATTTTTCACCTATGCATAAGTTTGGATTTTGGATGTGAACCTTCAATCTGGTTATAATATAAACCTTCAATATAAGAAATCAATATCAATTTTCAAAAATCGTAACGGGTCGCAGGATAAAGAGCTGTGTGACGCACACGTGCGTATTTGACATACTTGATCTATGAAATCAATCGATTGACGGGAAAAAAATCGATTGACAGAGACAAAATTTCACATTTACATAAAAATTCAAACATTTTAGTGATTGAGCTCAAATATATTACAATATAATACATATCAATTGACATATTTACATATTTTGACTTAATTTTGAATCTATATTAAATCCAAAATAGAAAATAAAAACAATACAAAAGCTTACAGATATTCTAAAATTACAATACATGTGTTATTATTATATAAGTTAGAATCTTCTAGAAAAAGGATGAATTATCTATAAGAAAATAAGTGTTTTTTTATAGTGTCCTTTGTTAAAGTGAAATCAAGTATGTCTTTGAATTTGCTACACAGGTTCAACATTGTACTAACAAGTTTGTGTTTCCCATAATTAGTTCTATGAAACGGAACTATAAAAATATCAGGAGAACGAGACCTAACATTAGAATTGATGACGATCTTATTAAAAATATCAGGAGAGATCAAATCAGATTTCATAAGTAGAAAAATGAATATCACTACCGCGCCAAGGAGGAAAAAAAATAGGATCCTCCCAAGGCAGGTGGCGAAACGCAAATCGCAAAAGATTCTTCTGAACCGATTCAATCCTATTAATATGAATATTGTAAAAAGGCACCCAAACTTGTGAGGCGTCTTCAAGATGGGGACGAACCAGAGACAAATATAGGGACTTCAAAATATAGGGGTCATTAAACTCTCTTGATCAGCGTTTAATAAATCCCAACATACAGCTTGCCTTGCCAACCACATAGTTGTAGTGATTGGCGAATGGTAGATTATTATCAAAGCAAACCCCTAGGTCCATAATTGAATTAACCCTATTAAGAACTTCACCATTTAAAGTATAATCTGATATCCTTCAATGGATTAAAAATGGAATGGAAGTAACTGTCAATCGTTTAATTATTATCAGGAAATTAGAGTTTGTTAATTGTGTAAAAAAATATTTTTTAATCTCAAGCCATGCTATATTTGGATAATTGAAACTATTACTTTTTCTAAAATGTGCTTTATTTTAATTTGTTTTCTTCAGGTTTTAACCTGAATCTTGTTGATTAGTACCATGTTGACCTTGCAAACCTGGTATACCTGGTGGACCTGGGGATCCAACTTCACCCATTGCACCAGGATCCCCTGTAGCACCCACATCACCAAAGTCTCCTATTGGGCCACTCACTCCCACCGCGCCAGCAGGACCAAGTAAACCTTTCGGCCCTTGCTCTCCAATTGGTCCCAAAATCCCATGATCTCCCGAGTCACCTTTTATTCCGCTTGAGCCTTGAGTACCTGGTGCACCTTGTTGACCTTTAATGCCTTTTTGGCCTATACCAAATAATTTTTACATATTTAAATTTGGTTTTAAATTAATTTCATTACAATATTTACCTTTTTGACCTGATATTCCTGGTAAGCCAGGAACTCCATCAGTACCTGGTCTACCAGATGGTGCTGGAGGACAATTGCAAATAGTTACTAAATTATTACGAGTGAGAGTAGCTCCTGTTGAAACTTGCTTTGCTTCGCCATCATCGGCTAAAACGTTAAGGCCAGTATAAAAGAAGATTTGGGCTGTGAAGATAAATTAAAAAATATATATGATAAGAAGTTAATATAATTTTTCACTCAAAATGCTTGCCAATTATAAAAGCAAATGTAATCGTCTTCATTTTAAATGACTAGTGATAATACTTATTCGCAAGCAGCTTTTATACGAAATTTCCGAGAAAAACTAAAACAAAAATGTTGATGTGTGAAAATTGGTTTGCAATGCTGAATAAAAATTGTAAGTTAACAGTTTAGTAATCGACCATTACCTGTCATAAATAATTTGGTATCTACTACGGAAACAAACATCTAAGTATATCTTGAAAAATTTTATGTGACGTTTGAATTCGTTAGTGATTTTAAAGAATTTGTATCAAAATTTTTTGCCATAACTTCATCTGCAGTTAAACAACTCATTTTGTTAATATAAATAACTTATATGAAAGAAGAAAGCTTAATTTATTATATGAATAACTATACCAAATTTAAATAAATAAAACGCTTATTTTTTAAATAATATTTATTCGCAATGTCCTATAAAACGTTAAATGATTTAAGTGGGTTAAGCCCTTTCTCATTTTTTTTATCTTTTTAATCCAGAAGTTTGACTTTATTTTTATTTTCCATTATCTTGTAAATTAGCACCTGGCGAACCTGGAACACCAGGTACACCAGTGGGGCCCTGAAAACCTTGAAGCCCATTTGGACCGGGTGCTCCTTGTTCACCTTTTGCTCCGAAATCACCAAAAGGACCTACTGCACCAGTGACACCAGTTGGCCCAATTGCGCCTTTTTGACCTTGAGGGCCTGGTGCACCTTGTCGTCCCATATTACCTAATTCTCCTTTAGTTCCTGGTGCACCTTGGACACCTGGTGTTCCCCTTGGGCCATCTACACCTGGTTCACCTATATACGGATGCATAATAAATATTTTGACACATTAAGTTGACGTATAAAATTAAAATTTTTATTAAGAACAAAATATGGGTTACAATATTTGTAGATTAAAATTAATACGAACCTTTCAAACCTGGTATTCCGGGTAAGCCGGGATTTCCATTTGGACCAGGTCTTCCAGGTGGTGCCGGCGGACAATTACAAACTCCCACTACGTTGTGACCTATTTGTCTAGCCTTTATTGCTGACGTCAATTGTACGTTAAAGTATAACATTTCTGCTTAGAATTAACGATATTTTTATTAATAAAAGTGAACTTGCAATTACTAGGTAGTTTTAACCATTTACCTGCCAATAGAAAGAAGATTATTGTCTTCATTTTGAGTTATTATAGAAGACATCGAGAAAAAATCAATTCTTTTATACAAAATTTTTTGGAAAAAAAAAGAATTGATTAAAAAATTAATAAGCAAAATTTTCAGTTATCGGCCTACAATAAAAAATCAGTTAAAAAAATTCTTAAGAAATATTATGTTATTCCTATAAATTAATACAATTATCCTATATTGCATTCTAAACGGAAATATGCTATGAATACGATATTAAATAAATAAAGCCTTTCACAATAAATTATAATTAATATAATAAAATATGTAAAGTTAGAAATTTTGTGTAACACATCAACTTCGTATTTTTCAACAACTTCAATACGAAGTTGTTTGAAAATATATTTAATTGTTTCAAAATATTGATTTAAACTCTATATGTAGCAATTTTAACCTTTCAAGTTTATTTAATATTTCTTAAATAAGTAAACCTTTCAAGTTTATTTAATATTTCTATATAATTAATTTTGTATTATAATAATATAATACTTAAAAACTTTTTAAATAATTCAAATATTTTTGTTACGTAAAAAGAGGAAGTTTTTATTTCTTAAGACGACTTCCTTAAATTTTTTATTACTTGATAAATTTTCAAGTACAAAGTTTATAAAATAGAAAAGTTTTTGAATATTTTGTTAAAAAGTTACAGAATTGTTATGGATGGTTTGTTTTTCATTTTTGTAATATGAATCTGTAATCAATCTTGTAAGTTAGACATTTGGATGTAAGGAAATAGAACAATGAAAAAAACTATTGAAACTATCCGAGTCATAACACAATTTATTACCCTAATACAAATTTTAAAATCACATATTTAGTATAGAATTTAAAGCTTTTGTGTTCTTAAGAACCAATTTAAATAGAACAAATTGTGGAATATTGTTTTTATTTTACGCATGTATATGTGTGTATGTATACACAGCCATGTGAACAAAACTATAAAAATATTGTAACATTCCTGAAAAATTTGAAAGAAAAACTATAAAACATGTTTTAAATATAGAATAATAGAAAATTTTAACGATATCAATAATTTTTTGACAAAAGTACTTTGAACTTTTAAGAGTCACACCTTTAAGGTTTTATTTTAAACGGTATATTTTCGCAATTTTATTATCCTCATTATACATACATATTTATTGATTTTTAGAGGTTGTTTCCCTAGCAAAATTTATTCAGTTTTATTAAGCACTTCCATAGTTTTGATTTTTATCAATAATTTTATTTTTCTTCATTAAAAGCCTGTAACTACTTTAAATTCTGTTATAATTCATCATAATAGAATATGTGCGTATAAGCGGTTTACGTTTATTTTAAGAAATGTTCTAATACTATTTTTATATTAATACTTTTAAGTAAAGAATCCACACGAAAGGATTCTTTAAGTAAAGAATCTTCATGAACGGATTAAGTTGTGCTCTTTTTATTATTAGACGGATATTAATTTAACCTGGAAATATAGAGTGGTGAAATTTGCTTTTATTTTGTATTGATAAGAATAGTCATTATTGCCATAGTGCTGTTTTAAGTTATATATAGTTAACCGAATGATCGACTCACTAAATCGAAAGAGCCAAAAGTTAAATTCAACGCGTTTTCAAATAAACTCGTAATAAACTAATGTATTTTAAATCACAATATTTCTAAGTCAAATCACTTTTTAGCATTTAAAAGGTTGTTTGACACTCCGAAAAATTTATGAAAAAAGTGCTTATCAGTTTCATTCTGACCGTCCGTCCGTTCGTGGACATTTTTAAAACTTTCTAAGAGTGACATTTTTTAAATATTTATTGCAGTGAAACCAAAAGCATTTTTGAAAATTTGCAAATGCAAAAAAGAAGTGGCTGGCTTCTTCTACTGCGGCATACCATCTTTGAACTTTAAAAAAAAATGGTCAATAATATTTACCCATATCTAAAATCCGTTATCTCTATTTTTGTTAATTTTTGACATTGTTTTTGATATCTAAACCGTTGGTTGTACGACTCTGAAATTTTAGCAGCTTTAGAAAATTTTTTTCTACCTCCACCCCTCTTAAGTTATCGCTTCTCGAAATTTGTAATATTTGAATTTTTGAAATCAAGAATTATGTTAACGCGTCTTTAAATAGTTTTTTTGTTTTATTTCAGAGACTGCTCGTTCCAAATGTATGCGATCATTGAAATACATTTGTATATGAATAAAAGTAATTTTAATAATGTAGTACGTTCATAGCTATGTAGTTAGATTGTTTTTAAAAACATTTTCACTTGAAGGGAACAGTGCTACATTACAAATTATTGGTTTAGAGAAAATTGATAAAAGGAAATTTGTAATTGCTTATTTGCTTATAGAAATTTTATAAAGTTTTTATTTTCGAAGAATTGAGCTTAGGCTCAATTGAGTTTAAACTGAGGTGTAGGTAAGTGAATAAAAAATTTCTTTTAACAAAAAGAAATTTGTATTTATTGTAATGTTTAGGAAAGAAACAAAAATTACTAACTTCCAAAGTTCGCTGTCTTATACGTAAGCAATCCTTAATGTTAAAAAAAAAATATTTCAAAGTTACGCTATTTTTATATACGGGAAATGAAAGACCGAAACATTTTGTTTTATACGAGTACTAGTATTGTTTTTACAGTTGTGTAAAGTAAAAAAAATAAAACAAGAAAAGAATATATATTTTATTTTAATTGTAAATGTACAAATGCAATATTTTTAATTATTGTAATCTCAATTTAGTTCCATAACATTGAAATCGAAATGTTGCTGCAACTTGAGAAAAACACGTACTATTTCAATATTTCATGCTATTAAATTAAAATATTTTTCGAGTTTAAATGATATCGCAAATTTAAAAAGAAACACACTCTGAAAAAGTCCGAAAATTGAACTCAGAAAATTTCGAATAGAAGCGGTAATTTTTGATGTATCGTTACATGATTTTTGGTAAAAATATAGAAAAATATGTTGCACTTTAGATATTGCGGTATTTTTTCCACAGTGCGAAATGTTAGACAGCTTTATAGAATGATAATTGTGAAGTTAGAAATTGTGCTATTTTGCTACAAATCATAATCAAAAAACTGTTATTTCACAAATTAATTGTTATTATTCAAAAAAAAAACATTTACATCATATACCATATACAGAGTTAAATAAATACAGATAATCAAAGACACAATAATATCTGGTAAACTCCAATGATTAAGAGAACTATTTGAAATGCGTGGAAATTTGTTACTCAAAGTCCTTTTGGAAGAATCTTTAGAATATTTCATATAAATAATACTTATACATATAAATATATACACATAATAAATTATTTATATATTATAGTATATCTAACTACTTATTATATTGATATAAATCATCAGTATGCTATAGAAAATAACTAAATTCAGTTTTGTCAGATTCGAATTAAAATGCTATACTATAGAAATTAAGTTTTATACACAAAATTTACTAAAATACTTATAATTTTTTTTAAATTTTACTAAATTTACTGAAATACTATAATTACTTTTCCCTTGTTTCCAAAATGTTGCCTAAAATGGTAAAATTTGCAACGATTAGAAACTTGTAGATACTTATGGAAAGTTTCCTTTTAGCCTTGTATTAGAGAATAAAATTTTGGCATTAGTGTATTTCACTTACCTGTGTCTGTAACATTGCATAATAGTAGTTATTAAAAACTTTTAACATCTCCTATAAAAATCTCCAATTTATATCTCTAATTACTTCGGAATGTAGTCAAATTTTCATTTACTTTATTCTTATTTGAGGCATATAGTACTCGTATACCATTAAATTTTTTAATTTTTTTACTATAAATTTATGTCACTAAATTTGTTATCCACATTATTTACACAAGCTAAATAAAATATATGTTCATATGTATGTAAGTAAAATATTTAAACTAAATATGAGTAAAATAATGTATGAAATGGAATGGACTATATATTCCTTTCAAGTGTATGAGGACATCACTTCTGCGCTAATCTACAATGTATTAAATTTAATCATGTACATATGTACTCGTACATATGTATGCATGTATCTTACTATTTATTCTAGGTTAGATTTCTAATTATATTATGATTTTTAATTGTTGTTATAAAAGAATTAAGTTAACACAAGTTTAATCATAAGTTAAATAAAAATAAATAAATTATAAATTTTTATTTTATTACGTATAAATTTTTATTTTATTTTTAGATACAACATAAATTTAAGCCAAGAAAACTAGAACACTGTATGCTGAGTTGATTTTTGGTTCAACCTGGGAACGGGATTCCAGGAAGACCAGGTGAGCCAGGTGGACCCTGCACTCCAGGTTCCCCAGGGACACCAGGAGCCCCAGTAGGTCCTAAAAGTAGAAAAAGGAATGTTTTTATTTATTTTTATTTTCAATAAAACAATTAATATTATTTACCTGTAACTCCCGGTGCCCCTTTTTCGCCTTTTGGACCTGGGTCACCCACTGGGCCTACTACGCCAGCAGACCCAAAATTACCTGTTGGACCAACATCTCCTCGTTGTCCCCGGACTCCTGATGTTGAAATAAAATAAAAAAAATCCATTCAAATAAATTTATGGTTGAATTTGTATATTGCTTTACCTTTAGGTCCTTGTGGCCCAACATCACCTGGTGCACCTGGTGATCCAATCGATCCTGGTATACCTTGAGAGCCTTTGTCCCCTGAATCACCGGGAGTACCCGGAGTACCGGGATCGCCATCCGGTCCGGGTATTCCTGGGGCACATCTACAATTAATGTAGTTTGAGCCACTTAAAACGACAGGATTTGTACTTTGTCTTAATTGACTTTGCACTTGCTTTTGTTGTGATGGTGGTCTTATTTGAGAATTGGGTTTTAATATTTCAGCTAATTCATCATTTGCATCATTTAAAATTACAGAACTTGCATCAACTCCAGGAACTGCAATAGCTTCAGTTAAAATATTCTCGTTGTTCCCGCCTTGGTTATTAAGAAAACTAAATGTTTTAGAACTTTCTCCATCTTGTTTTGTCTCTTCTGTATGTGTCAGGCAGAAGCAATCTATAACCAAAATAAACCAATTAAAATTTTTTTTAAAATTTTTTAAAACTTATTTACATAACGAAAATGTTAGTATAACTTACGGTAACATAAAAGCAAGAATAGAATGATACTGCGCGGCATTTTTAATATAAATGTAAAAAATTTCTATTCGCGTTTTTCTTTTATAGGCCGCGTACCTTATTTAAATAAATTTATATATGTATAGGAATTGTGATTATTTTTTACTATTTATTTTCATTTATTTCAATCAAATCTGCTTATGCTTTAGTTTTTGTGATGATAATATAATGGTTCGATAATATTTAATAATCTAAACAATTTTAATTAATCTTTGAAATCAATGTTTGAATTTGATCAAATCTTGTATTATTTATATAACTATAACATTACTATTATTTATGTAACTATTTTGAATACCAAACTAAATGTCATCTTGTATACATTTATATGTAAGTCGAATATTTGTTCAATTAATTAATTTTTTGCTGTCTTTTTTAAATCAATACATTAAACAAACATAATATTAGTAATCTCATTTAATGAATTTTATATATACAGACTACCAAGTTGATACCGTAACTTTTCATTACAAGCCTTGTATCAAGTACTTGCGTTCTATGAAATTGTGAATTAAAGACTAAAGGTATTAAATGAATGTGTTTAAGTTATAATTCCAATACAGGCCGTTGATATGATTTCAACGAATTGTTATATTTTCATATAACAATTTCATAAGACTTGATTTACAAATTTATTTAATAACGAAACAAGTTTGTTTATTACCATAAGAGGGTAATATTCTTACAGGATTAAAAATGACAGCTTTTTTCTTTCATTTCGGTTATTGCCTTTAAAAAGAGGACAACATCCTAAAAATCCAGTTCTTCAACTCAGACTAATTTTATGTTGTATAAAAGAGTATCTCAAGTCCGAGTTTAACTCACAAAATTTTAAACTTTTATTGCGTGAGGATGCATTTTTCTTATTTTTGTTTATTTTTAATTGGTAATATGTACAGTAATCGCATAAATATTGTTTTTTTTCATAAATAAAAATAAGATATTTATTTATTCTATTCCTATGTTTTTTCTACGGTTTTCTACAAATAGCACCATTGACAGTGTGTTCAAAAAGTTTGAATGTAGACCAAAACAGTAGCAATGTAATAAAGAATACGTGTGTTCTGTATCAGGAGAAAGATCCAATTCACTCTGAATCAATAAAATCATCACAAACAATTAAAGTAATTGAAAAAACAAATTTAGACTTGGAAGAAAATAAAAATAATTCGACAGGTAATTGTAATGAGTTTCTGCATATAGATACAATTTTTTTTAGTGTAAAATATGCAGTTTTTAATTTTACTTAAAATTAACAATTTCTTTTATTCCTGTTTTTTAATATGTACATCAATTTTTTTAAAAAAGCCTATGAAACCGACGAAGAAATTAAAAAAATTTATGATGCTCTTAAAGTACATTATTCAAAATTTCTAAATGAAGAAAATAGCTTACAAATTTTTTGGTTACTTGCAAAACGTGGGGCATTATTTGACTTTTACGATAAAAAATGCCGTGAATTCAGTTTAAACACTAAGGAACAAAAACAATATTCTCAAAAAGAAATAGAATGCGATGAAATAAATTCAAATAAACTTCGTCCTGTCTGTGGTTTTAATGGCAACGAGTTTTTAACATTTTACAACATATGTGAATATAAAAAAATAAGTAATTGTCAAGAAAGTATCAATAATGGTAAATGGGAAATTACTTCAATATTTAAATGTATAAATGAAAATAAAATAATGTTCGTTGGAAGGAATGAGTCGCAAATGGAATATGTTAACCCTGAAAAAAGACATTCTGAAATAACAATTGAAGATTTAATTAAAGAAAAAGTTGAATCATTTAAGTTACCTGATGCTAAAGATCCAACAAAGGAAACTAAAAATGCAGAAAAAGAGGAGTTTATGAAAGAAAATATGGCAATTTAGAATGTCAAATTAATACTCGTAATTTATATTAAATTATATAAAAATCTACATAAAATTATACGTGTATATTTAATTTGAATTATGGTTAATGGAATTATGGTAAAATCGTAAATGCATATATTGAAACAAATTGAAATATCATTGTAATTAAATAAAAACCATACTCTTAATATCTATTTTATCGACTAATGAGACCAATAAGACTTTATAATATTTAATACTCAATGCAAACATAGTTAACGCCTTGAGATTTTTTTGCAAGAATGAAAATTTAAAAAATTTAAACATAATATGCTAAATCTGTTTTTATAAATGATTAAGAAAACAACATTTGAAATTTCCGTAACGGTTTCATAATATTTATATACTGTAATTAAACCTTTAGTAACTGACAGAAAGTTCAACCGAAACTGTTTGTGTCAATAAACTCTGTTAAAGAATTTAATATAAATACATATACTTTTATACATATGTATATGTACATAATTTGAATACATTTATGTAAAAAGCAAAAAAAAGTAATTTTGTCAAAAAACTTCATATTTCATTATAGAGAATTTTATATTGGATTTACATTTCGAAATCCGTTATGCGATTATGCCTATTTGACAAGAGTAAATAACTACCCTAGACTTTCAAATTAAATTTCATTAAATGCAATAAAAGTGGGAGCATTTTCTTTCAATTCAAGTATCAAATTAGATATATTATATGTATCTATAGGCTATACATTCTAGTTTATAGAATAAACAAAAATTATTATCTTCGTTTATCAGAATAAAAACACAGTAAAAATGTCACAACAGGATCTTATGTATAGTAGTGTGAATGATTATTTTTTCAAAAATAGCCAAAAACGTAAAACTGGCTTGTGGTCAATTTTCAAATCAAAGATTCAGTTTTAAGGTTTGTAACAGCCTAAAGGCCGACTAACTCCCCACCCATATGGTCAAAGTTAACTTTGATATAAATTATCATCAAAATCAGTTCAATTAAAATGGAGATTTAGGAGTGTATATAGAGAGATAGTTGAATAGACTGAAGCATAGACCGGAAGAAGGTGTGTCGGAATATATTTGTGTGAAGGAAATCGACCAATATTTTTGGATCTACACACTTTTTTTTAAATTTAAAATTTAAATTTCAAAAAAATCGGTTGGTAAGTTCCATATATAAAGAGATAGTCGAATAGACTGAAGCATAGACCGGAAGACAAACTTTTAATTAAGATGCGAAATTTAGTGCCATCATATAAGCCCCGTTATTGTAGGCAATGCGGTCGGTAACAAAAATATGATACTATAAATTTGATACGAACATTTCTAGCATCTTCCCCTACTATATATTAAATACTACATTAAGCTCTTTAAATTGATTTAGAATAAAAATAAAAAATACGCGCTAAATAATGTGGATGTGAGAAATATCTAATAACTTTGTAAATTATTGATAAAAGCTAAAAAAAGGGCTTGTCCAAAACAGTATGTAGTAAAACTTTAAAGCAAATTTAGACTTTTATTGCCTAAAAGAGGTAAAAGCAAAAAAAAACGTAATTTTTATATTTTAATACGTGAATAAAAAATACAAAATATTCTAAAACCCAGATCAAAGTTTCATATTGCAATTCTGTTACATTTTTGTTTTTTTTATAAAATGTTATATTATTGTTTAATTTTGCCTTTTTAATGTATTTAAAGGGGAAACCTCTCACGACCATCAAAAGATTGTCGTGAGAAGTAAGTAGTTTTTTTATAAAATTTACGTGTACCACATAAAGATCACGGAAAGGGAAGTACTGTTTTAGAGTCTCTTTCATATTTTCATGCAAACGTGGACAAATTTTGAATTCCTTTTGATAAAATTTTATATCTGGACTTGATTAAAAATAGAAGCGCTTTTGAGATGTTTTTTTTATGACAAGACAAATTAAGGCAAATCGAAAAAACGCCTAATCTACTTTTCTGACATTTGATATCTGAGCTCTATATGAAATCATTTGAAAAATTTCAAATTAATAATTTAAGGGATCGTTGTTTTGCAGCGCTCAATAAACGGTTGAACTATGAAAGGTGTATTTTGAAAGTTATGTAAGTCAATTTTTATTTGAAATGGAATCGTTTGGTTTTAAAGTAAAAATTTGGTCAATTGGTTAACCAACTACATATATAAGTTTCAATTACAATATATTATTTCAAGATAGTATCATTATTTTGGAAGCAAAAAACTTTTAAAACCGCAAATGAACCTCTTTTTTTAAAATAAACCATCTCGTTATCAATCATTTGAAAGATATAATCATTACTTATTTTACAAAATTCCAATATCTAGTTCAGAATTTCATTGTGGGTACTTTTCAAATTGCTCGTGAGTACTAAATTAATCTAACTGATAGAAAATTTTTTAAAAATAATTTTAGGTTTATATTTACATTTATGTTTTTTTCCATACTATAAAGTAATAACATAGACCTATAAAAAAGAAACTAAATTTTTTAGAATAACAATAAAATCTATACATAAGCGTAAAGGCTTCGTTTAAGTTTTTATTCTACTATTTTTGGTATTTAAAAGCTTTGTTATCAGGTGTATTTATAACTAATCGAATAAATTTGAGTAGAAATTCGGTATAAAAACAAAATTAAGCTCTTGAAGTACAACATTTATAAAAATGAAGCGAGTCGTAGTAGTGCTATTTATTTTGTGTAGCACATCATATTGTGACAAATTACCAAAAAAAAAAATAAATCATAATGACAGAAATATGAAAGGGCATGAGGAACAGCGTAGTATTTTTGGAAATTTGCATGATGGTTGGAGCGATAATAATGCGCCAAGTTCACTAAAAACAACTAAAGGCGGCTCATTATTCAATTTTGGACTGCCAAATTTTGGTTCAATTCCAACTCCAGGCATTCAAGATTGTTATTGCCAGCCTAGTATCGGTCCAAAGGGTCCAAATGGTATTCCAGGCCACAAGGGAGCCAAAGGATCTGCAGGAGGTCCTGGTGAACCGGGCTCAATGGGTGATCCAGGAAATAAAGGTGCTGCAGGTCCAGTGGGTATACCAGGAGATCAAGGTATAAAAGGGGCAATAGGTCCCCAAGGACAACCAGGATTTCCGGGTAAAATGAAAAATACTTTGGAATGATATACAATATCATTTATAAATTATTACTTTATTTATTTAGGAGACCCTGGTATTAAAGGTATTGCAGGTCCTCCAGGACCAACAGGATCCCAAGGACCAACTGGTAAGGTTCTTTTTTCTTTTCACTAAAATTGTGAATATTAATTAATGTTTAATATAGGCGACCCTGGTGTGCCAGGCCTTCCTGGTATTCCAGGAGATCCTGGTCCAACAGGAGCAATGGGACCTGATGGAGATCCTGGCGTATTATTACCTCCCGGAAAATGATTTTAATGAAAAATTAACAAATAAAATAATAGTTTTCCAGAAAAAAATATTGCTTTGTGTTTTATTTCTACTTATACATATATTTAATGCCATATATATGTATCTACAGCCTATCAAGCTCAGAGAGCAAATAAAAAATAAATTCCAAATTTATATGGAGTTGAAATGGAAGGTGTGTCGGAATATATTTGTGTCAAGTAAATTGACCAATATTTTTGGATCTACTGATTCTACATATTTTTTCAAATTTAAAATTTAAATTTCAAAAAAATCGGTTGGTAAGTTCCATCTGGAAAATGCATTAAAAAAAGAAATTGCAATTTTTAGCACAGACAACCTTTCTTGTCTTCCGAATGGAAGGGTACTGAATTACAGAGTAAAATTTTTGAATAAAAAATAGAATTTAAAAATAAATTGAAGAAAAAAGCAAAAAAATAATAATTATAATCTAGATGACTTTTGAAACTATACTAAATAAAATGAAATTTATAAAGAATACTCAAAAATTTCACAAAAAAAATAAAAAAATATTTCAATCAGCATACCTTGAAAACATAAAACATTAAAAACTGTTTTTTAAAAACTTATTTTTAAAAATTATAACTAGGAAAACTACTAATAAATAATTTCTTAAAACGCCTAGATGGATTTGGAAATTATTTTAAAAATTTGGACGACAAACTTAATAAAATTAATGAAGTGATAGACAACCTTATAGAGGAAAACACAAACATATGAAAACTGAAAATGAAATTCTAAACAAAAGAATTCGCCGAAATGAAAACTAAATTGAAAATATTAAACAAAAAGAGCATAAAAATTCTATCGAAATTTGTGGTGTAATTGACAGTGCTCAAAGTGATATCGGGGTGAGCAATAAAATTTTTAATAAATTAGGTTTAAAATTTAATAGTGACACTATTGCGGACATTTATATTAATACTCGTAAGAGCAAATATTCTAAAAATTCTGAAAATACTAGAGCTATGCTATAAGATTTAGAAATTACATTAGTAAACAGAAAATTTTAAATGCAAAAAAATAAGCAAATTAAATTGTCAGACATAATATTTACAGATCTAAAAACTAATAAAAAAGATAGCTATATGTATATAAATGACAAACTTACTAAGCTTACTATGTAACTTCACTTAATGACGTTATCTATTAACATAATTTATGATCTTGATTTGCCATTTTACCCAAACCACGATAAAATAAATTCCATAAATAAATTAAAATTTTTCCAAGATGACTCCCTTAAAAATATGTACATACATATATAAATATTAGAAGCTTAAAAAATAAGATTGAAGTTCTGTATTTACTTGATACACAATTTTAAAACTGATACACATAAAAGCTTAAAAATGATAAAGCTATTGAATTTATAAATATTCCAAATTATAATAAAATATTTTCATGCAAAATAAATAGAAAAGATGGTGCAGCAGGTATATTTATGCAAAAATCGCTCAAATATAGCTCAATCGAAAATTGCCGTGATAAATTTACTAGTATTTTAGAAGTAAATATTAAATTAAATATGACAACTTTAAATTTTATCTTATTATATTGACCACCTTTTAAGAACACTGACAAAATAAATGATTTTTTGAATAAATTAGAACAAAAATTGACTAATAAAAATAAAGAAAAGACAATAAGAAACAATAAAAGAAACAAGAAAAGACAATAGGCGATTTTAACTTTAACATACTCGACAAAAATGATTTTTAATGTTTACCTGTACCAAAGTATAATAAAAACAAATGGTTACTTATTTTGTAACAAAAATATAACACGACCGAGTAGTAACACGTTTTTAGATTATATACTGACAAATAAATCAAAATATTTCTATGACCCAATTGAATTATAATTTCTCAGATCATCACATATTAGGCATTTTCATAAGCACAATACTGACAATAGTGGAAAATAGGGCCAAACAGTGGAAAACTGGAACAAAAAGAAATTTTGTTATTTTTAAATACAACAATTAACAGACGAATTCCTAAAAAAATGCAAAAACTAGTAGAAAAAAAAGTACAGCTGATTTAATTGCGCTAGCCATGATAATTTAAACATTTTTGTGGTAGTTTAGCAATGTTTATGAACAAACTTCTTTAGCAACATTTATGTATGAATACAAATATAGATTAGTTCTTGCTATATATCGCGATATACCTATTATTTATTGAGACAAATTATTTCACTCAAAAAATCCACTTAAATAATAAGAAAATGTTTGAAAGACTCAGAAGAAATTTGTGTCGAAATGAAATTTTCAATTTAGAATATGAATAAATCGCAAGTCAAAAATACGATCTCATAAAAACCGTAATTGCAAATGCAAACGAGAAAAAATAGAGTTAACCTTGTCAACTCTGTGATACCCGTACGAATTTGTTATCCTATGTGCGAATAAATATGCCATAACCGACTATAGGACAGACTATGACTTTAGTTTCTATAAAAGCTATAAGTAAAAAGCTATCAGAAGGAGCCAAGTAATTTCAATGACTTTTATCAGACACATTAGCCCTACTAATATACTTGTTAGTTTGAAATTTCAATTCCATAGCTTTTATAGTTTCTGAGATATAGTCTATATATATTTCGAAGATAAATTTCGAAGTTGTATGGCAGCTACCCGAACCTGTACCACAATGATGCCCAATTTAAAAGGGTTTTGGTACTTACTACAATAAGTCATTTGTGAAAATTTGGTGAACTTACCTCAATTAGTTTTTGAGTTATCGCTTGGACGGACTGACGGACGGACAGACAAAGCTAAATCAACTCATTTAAGGAATTTGACCCTGATCAAAAACATACACTTGAGTTTATATCTAAGACCGTTATTTCTTAGCGTTGCAAACGGTAAGGCAAATTTAGTATACCCTTCGAACATATGTTCGTACGGGCATAAAAACGAATCTATGTTTACAATTAAGGTCAGTAATAAGAATATTTTTGAAAACCTTGGATCGACAAAAAATTATCTCGGCTATTAAAATAAAAAATGATTGGTATTCAAAGCATATTAACAGTGCAAGTAATATAGAAATTCTGACAAAATATAAATATTGGCCTAATAAGATAACTCATTTAAAAAGAACAAGAAAACGAAATTATTATGGAAATAAATTTAAAAAATGCAAAAATGACCCTAGAATGAAATGGAATAACATCAAAGATATAGATATAGAAAATTTGATACTAAAATATTTTACCAGGTAAACGATTCTAATAACGAGAAAATTGGAAAATTATGAACTCAACAACTATTATTGTAACATAGGTAAAAAATGATCAATACAAAGGTAATTCAACTTGAGGTATTCTACTTAAAAATACAAGTTGGAAGTAAATTTTACTTTAATGTAATGCTATGCTCCCCCCCATCTTATTTTTTATAGGATGTTATAAAAATATTTGAAATCTTATTTTTTATAAGATGTTATAAAATATCAGCATGAACTGAATGAAAAGTTCTAGCGCATGGTTAAGGCAACTATTCAACAAAATCTTGCAAGGACATAAGATGTAAGAAGAAGGGAGGTGTGATACAAGAGTGCCAATTTACAAAAACAAAGCCGATGTATTAAACTGCAAAAATTACAGACGTATTAAATTAACATTTCATACTCTGAAGCTTTGGGAAAGAATCATTCGCAGTAGAATAGAAAGAAATACTCCGAACCAATGTGGATTTATCAATGGCAGATTATCTGTAGACGAAATTCAAGCCCTGTAAATCACTTTGGGAAAGTACCGGCTGAAAAAGTAAGATTTTTGTATGGCATTTATAGACCTGAAAAAGGCATTTGACATGGTACCTAGAGATTTAGTATGGCAGGCAATAAGACTTAAAGATATAACAGAATCGCACATGAAAATAATTATGGATATGTGCCGTAATACCGTTACCAGATTAAAAAGTTCGACAGGTGTATCACATGAATTTTTGGTAACAGTTGGAGTCCATCATAGTTCTGCACTTAGTCCGTATCTTTTTAATCTAGTTATGGACTATGTAACATTAGATTTTCAAAGGCCTACTTCCTGGAACATCTTATATGCTGATGATGTAGTGCTGATAAGTGAGAGGATTCAACAACTCAAGGCAGATCTTAACACCTGATATGCTGCATTGAAGAGAAATGGGCTACGTTTTAATGTTATCAAAACTGAATACCTTCGAGCAAATTTTACATAAAAAAATATCAATGACCCCTAAAATACCATCAAGATCCAGGAAGAACCGCTCAACAGAACATCTTCATTCAGCTATCATACGACGTTAAGTATAGATCGAGTGTAGGCTGGCTAAAATGTAGGTCTGTATCTGGAGTTCTGTGCGATAAGAAAATGCCCATAAACTTCAAGGGCAGAGCGTACAGAACTGTTGCGAGATCAAGGCTAGAAAACCACACTGCATTGAGTATAGAAAAATCACCGAAACGAAGGGGACACCGAGAGCGACATGATTGCGTACTATGCAAAGGAATATACAAGAAAAAAATCTTGAAGATGTGACAATCTAACATAAATCATCTTTGCGATTCAGAACAACAGTCGACCCTAACTATGTGGGATAAGAATTTAGAGAAGAAAGAGATAAAAATAAATAATGTAAGGAAGTTGAAGTAAATTAACTCAATAACAATTAACTTGTGCAAGAAATATGGCAGCAGTGAAAATTATAAAATAAATTCGAACTAATTGATGAATTTCTTAACTGTGAAATGAAACGTACAAACGTACACAAATTCCCAAAAATGTGGAATTATTTTAGGTTCGAAGTATAGAAAGAATTTAAACCGAAATTAGAAAATAATTGAAACAATATAGCTTAAAATATTCACATATTATAAAATTGATAATTTTAAATAGATCTAAAGTCACGGATAATAAAAAAAAAGTAGTTTCATCACTATTTTACAAGAGTAGGTATAATAATTTTGTAAAAATATCAAATTCATTTCAAAGACTGCATACATTGATCATTCGAAAGGTATGCAATCTTTGAAATATATTTGCATATGAATGAAAGTAATTTTGATAATGTAGTACGTAGCTAGATCAAGCAGGTTTTACTCAACTTTATTTAATATTAAATCAGTATGATCGGCTTTCGCATACAACAATGTAGTGCTTTCTGCAGAAATTTTGCAACTTTTATATACAGATAACTTATGACTGTTTTAAACTACTCTTGATTGTTTATATGTTTTGAAAATGCTTATGTTTATTGTGCAAAAACACAATCTGAAACAGGCAGATTTTTTATGCTTTGAAAAGTATTAATTAGGCTCACTTTACTATTTAGGGAAGAAAAACTTAAGATTTTTCTAAAAATTTTCGAATATAATTAAAAATTTAATGGATTATGTCTAGTATTGTTTATTTTTGTAAAACAGTTGATTTGATAACTCGCATGTATTTTTTTTTAAATTGAATAAAAAATTTGATATTTTTTTTATTGCAATTGGATTTAATAATTAGTATCTTTTATTTTTTAAATATAAATTACGTTAAATTTAATTTTGTGATTATTACATTGCAAGTGGTTCATCAAAAGAACACTAATATGAACCAACTGATTCAACTGAAATATCACCTAGTATAGTTCCAGTATTAATTGTCATAGTTGTACTAGATGGTCCAAGTACTTAACAAGAGATTTCCCGTACCTCCAAAGAAAACGATTTATAGATGGGTGAAATATTGTATGATCTCGACAATCAAACGGCAGTTTCAAAACAGCAAATTATTTATTTAAATTGCAATTTGAAATAATTTTTAATAATTATTTATTAAATGTTAATAATTTAGTCAACTAACAAAACAGACTAATGAACTTGACGTCTAATCTTTTAACAGTAACAAACAAACTGCAAAAAGTTATTTACTTGTATATTGATTTCGAACAATATTTAATAGATCATTCATAAGATAATTTTTAATGACATTTTTGTGCGTTACTGTTTTCTTATATCCAATCTATTACTAATCTTATGACACACTTCTATTATAAATAGTATATTGATCTTTTGTTACACTGTTGTAGAACTAATTTTTAAAATAGTCTCTAATGAAAAATGTTTGCACATATTTTTTGCAATTATTTTTAAATAAGTCTGTTTTGTTCATATCTAATTTTTCTAATTTTGATTCGAAATATTTAAGGTCAATTCATTACACGCCTAGGAAAATATGTAAAAATAATTAGTAGATATTTTATTTATATGTATATCGCAATATTTAAGAAAAAGTAAAAATAAAAATTAAAACATATGAAAAATAATGAAAACAATATACAAAAGTGCATACCGAACTTTATACAAAATAATCTTATCTTCTTTTTATATTTTTATATTCTAATTACAAAATTTAATTTTTTTCATAATGAAAAATAATCGAAGTCAGTTGTTAATAATCCGTTCACCGTTTTAGACTTGTTAAACATAAATTGGTTTGCAGTCAATACGGAAAATAAAAGCATATATTATTTATTAAATTTTAATTTTCGGTTAGTTTTAAAATTTGGATATTATTTTAAAATAATCAAAATGTTATTATGAAGTGGTTTAAAATAGTACATATGTGTATAGTTTAACAAAACAACGGATACTCAGAATAATTTGCAAAAAATAATTTTTGTGCATATATATACATAAGTATACCTACATATATCTTATATATTAAATTTATCAATAACGGTGAAAATGGTGTTCTGTTAATGGAAAGACAAAAATTATGAATTACAAAATGTTAACAAAATCCTCGAAATTTGATTTAATTTAGAAATTATTCTGTGGTTTAAAATTAATCCATAAAATTGTATTAAAATAGTAAAAAATAAATATATAAAATAGTTTTGAATATTTCGACAAAAATTAAAGTAAATTAAAATTTTTGAAAGTGTTAAACGAGATAAAAACTTGCAACTTCCTCCTTTAGGTCATTAAGTTATCACGCACTCAAATACTCGTTTTTTCTATATTTTATTCATCTTAGTTTTCTTCTCTCAAATTTTGGCTTATTAAGAGTTCAATTACTTATTCGTACTTTTTAAATGTCAAAATCAGAATGTTTAGCAAGGCGCATTTCTAAAGATATTTTTTCTTTTTCTTCTTTTTTTTCCTATTGTTTTTTTTTTGTTTTTTGTAAGTGTTGTTAGATAGTTTTAGCTTTCGTTATCAAAAACAAATTGTGATTACAAGAAATAATACACATTTGGAATACAAAGGCGGTAATATTTAAAATACAGATTTGACTCTTGAAATTCTTTTTTCAAATTAAGAATTCTTAAAATGTTTATACTGAACCAAAGTTTAATATGTAATGGTATATATTAAAGTATTCATATATAATAATTTTATAGCATATGTATGTAAAATTACCTTACGCATAATTTGTGGTTGAGTAAATTCGTACAGTTGGTAGAAAGTTGTGTTCGTATAAGTGATTCTTTTAAAGGATAATGTAGCGAAGCTACAAAGCTGAATTAAAATTAAATGACTATGATTCCGTTGAATCGTCTATTTATGATGAAGAAACAAAAAAGTAAAGACAGACTTCAAAAACAGTATAACGTTTCGGTTGAATGGTTTTTTTTTTATAATTATTTTTAGATACCTATAATACTCGTATAATTTATGTATTTTAATAGATTGAAAAAAACTTAAGCCATCTTTATACTACTTGAAAATAATTTGTTAAAAAATGATCAAAATGTGTTAAAAAAAAGTAGATATTTGTTATTTCATGTCAATTTTTACGAAATTCCTAAAATAATAACACTTTTTCTTGAATTTTGATTGAGATACAAATCAATTTAATTTAATAACCTTTTTTTTTAATTAATGCTTGAGAGACTAAAATTATTTACAGGTATAAAAGACGAAATAGGAAATATAATTGCTTCATAGATGTGAAATGTTTAAAATCTTAAAGATTTTACTCTACAATAGAGAATACAATTTTAATAGTTATTTTAAAACCAAATGGAAGATAAAAATGCCTGTGAGGTCGACGAAATTGTTGACGTGTATATATTTGCAGGCTTTTATGCTTTTTCATCTGGAACTGAGGACTTTAGCAGCTGACCCGAATGATGGTAAGTTAACTTTAAAGTGCAAATAATATAAAATTTACTTTCTCCACGACGGTTGATTATTCAAGTTTTTATTTTTTTCGAAAGTAAAAACAGAGGGCCTCACGTCTTTTTATTTTTTTGTATTATTCTAGTGAATTTATGATGACCTGAAGAAATTCCAGCATAATAACTTGATTATCGTAATAACTTAGTTGCTTATGTTTTTGTTCTTTTTTTTTACGGTATTGATTTATGTAATTAAATGTAATTCAAAACGGTCTTTAAAATCATTATTTTTAATTTAGATTTGGATAATACAAAAAATATTACATGCAGCAAATATTAATGTAGCAAATCTTCGAATCATTTTTATCATTAATTCATAAATTAAATTTCAACCTATCTTAATGTAATTTTAAATATAATAATATATACAATAAGACATAACAAGCTGCAAACTTTAAATTCTAAAAAGAAAAATGCAAAAACAATGTATTTTTTCGTCTAATAATGAAAAAGAGAGAAATTTATCATGCTTTTTTTCTGTAAAGAGAGTACATATTTATCTCCTTAAATTTATTTATTTTTGTTTTTGTTAAATTAATTTATTTTGTATGTTTTTTTGTTTTATATTTATTCCCAGCTGGTTTTATTGACCTTATTCGTGAATTTGGAATACCAGATTTGCCGGCTGGTATTCATTCAACTCAAGGAATGTGCAAGAATGAAAAAAATCAATTTCAAATTTATCCTTCACCTGCTTATACTATTACTAAACAAGCAATATTAACAATTGGAACCCCATCTGTGTATCCAAATGGTTTTCCAGAAGACTTTTCTATTCTGCTTGTTTTAAGACCAAATGGCACTATGACAAAATCACCAATTTTTACAATTTATTCTGCTGAAAGCGAGGATGTTTTATCAATATATGTAGGACCAGAAATCGAAATGGTATTTCAAGAGCTAGATGGTCCTTTCGATCATAAAAATTCAATAAACTTTGGAATTGGTATTGGGGATAAGGAATGGCATAGAATTGGCTTAAGTGTTAAAGGAAACTCGGCAACTTTAATATTAGATTGCAATAAGCAAGTAACGCGTCGACTGGAAAGATCAATTGGTACTAGTATTGCGACTGATGGTTTAATATTGACTGGAGCTCAGTTAACTGATGATGAAGGATTTTTTACTGGTGATATACAAATGATGGCAGTTGTTGATAAACCAGATGCCGGGTTTGAGTTATGTTTATATTACGCTCCCGATTGTTTAAGCAGTTATCCTCCTGAAAATATTCAAGAAAACAGACAATTAAGTAGTAGTAGAAGTAATAGCGGTTATAACACTGATTCAGTAATGAACAGAAATTATCACGATTTTAATGTAGAAACTTCTTCAGGAAGATTTTTTGGTAGTGATCTTAATAGTCATTCTACAACAGATTCTTCTGGTCTAACACATTCCCATAACTCTCAGAACCATTGGAATATTGAAGCTAGAACACCTTCTTCTAAACCTTTAGCTACAACAACTGTTGATGGAATATTTGGAGATTTGCGCGGGAACTCAATACATGAGTCGAAGTTGGGCTCAGAAAGAGATATTTCAACAACTTTTCATATTGAAAGTGATTTTTCGGACGCGTCTATAAATGGTGATAGTGGCCATATGCTAAACATAGATTTTGAAGATTTGAATGCAGAGTTTGGTCTAAGTTCCAACCCGGAGACAATAGAAATAAGAGAAAATAAGAAATCCAAAAACAATAGAAGAACAAAAAATCGTAATAACTCAACATATGCAAATGATGCCTCTAATTCCATGTTTTTATTCCCGGAAAATGATTTACAAATCAGTAACAACGATGAAAATTCTGAGACCGCAACTAACCGAACAAATGCGAGACGAGATTCTAATAATATTTTATGTTACCCTGGACCTAGAGGATATACTGGACTTCCAGGTCCCCCTGGAGAACGTGGACTGAAAGGAGAACCCGGTAGAGATGGCCTTTCTGGCTTAACTGGAGCTCCTGGTCCTGCTGGAAACGTGTTCGTTGTTCCAATAAATCAAAATCAGAATGAAAAAGGTCCAGATGCTCATTCTGAAGCATTAAGGCAAATGATTTCCCAGCATCTGGTAATGCTAAAATTTCAAATTCATTTATATTTTGCACCCTTGTAAAAAAATATATATTCTGCAGACGGCAATGAGAGGAGCAGAAGGTCCAGCTGGTTTGACGGGTGTTGCAGGTCCAACTGGTCCGCCTGGAGAACCAGGAACGAAAGGTGAACCAGGTGATATTGGAGAACCAGGAGCACGGGGAATTAGAGGCCCCGTCGGTCCAACTGGTCGTGAGGGCCGCAGGGGACGAGCTGGGAGAGATGGAGAACGTGGTCCTATTGGGTTTCCTGGTATCAAAGGTGAACCAGGTCCAATAGGCCCAGCAGGACTGATGGGAGAAAAAGGTTAATATTAAGCAATAAAACATTTTTATTCGAGGTTAAAAAAATTTCCTTCATATATGTAACGTATACATCGAATTTATTATACATTAAATTACGATTAATTTAATGTATAATAATTTAATGTATAATAATTTATTGGTTAAGTAAATCATTCTTAATAACCTTATTCACTTTCTAAAAGAATTTATGTATATTCAGTACAAAACGATATTTACTTTATAAAGATTTTTCCAAAATAAATTAATAATTTTTCGAATATTTTCTAAAAACACTTTAAAAAAATTTTCTGTGATTCCTGTAATATATATTTTTTTGTGGAACAAATATACACTTTATTAAAGCTGATTCCTCTAATTATTTTCTTTATTTGAGTATTGCAACAGAATATAATGGTAAAAGTTGTGCTTAATTTTCGCGATAAATATTTTTAAGTAAAATCAGTACCGTCGAAAATTCTTGACCGTTATTTATTTTTAAAATAAAAAGTTTTTAATTAAAACAAATTGTTTTAAAACTAAAACAATGTATTATAATATAAATAAACCAAAATAAATATATTTACGTATATGCTCAATTTAAACTTTAAAAATATTCAAAAATTTTTAAAGTTTCAAATATTATACGAGTACACCGCAATTAGTAAATGTTTAAAATTACAATATTATTTTCCATCAGGCTTGCTATATTTTATAGTGCAATATTAAGATTTAAAATATATTTTCACATAAAGTGATTCACCTGTCAATCACTTCATTATAAACTCTACAAGTACAATTTCATTTTTTTCGTATGTATGTATATTCTTATGGTATATTTTGTAAATTAGTTTTTGTCGAGACATATTAAGGATCATATATCTTAAAAATTGTTTATTTTATAGGCCATAGGGGAAGTTCTGGTTTACAAGGAGAAAAAGGTCAACAAGGTATTGAAGGGCATCCTGGAGAGGATGGTCCTCCAGGACTCCCTGGTTTACCTGGAGAACTGGTACTTTTATAAATAAAAAATTTTTAATAAAAACTAATGTAAAACATTTTTTAGGGTCCACGAGGTTTTCCTGGTCCAAGGGGCTTGCCTGGAGGGCAAGGAAATCCCGGTTTGCCAGGTAAATATCAAATTTTAATTAATGAGGAAAAAATACGTTTGCTAAAATATTTGGAACCGAATAACAATTGCGTCATAAAATTTAATACAACATATACATACATATGCCATAGAAAAATTAAGCAATGGTAACGAAATTGTTGGTAGTAACGTAAATATGAAATTGTGACTTCAAGAATAATTTCGAATGACTTACAATACATATTACGATTTTATTAGATTATTCTTTTTTGTTTTATACATTTTAAATTTTTTTCATAATTTTACATTTTTACTGTTAATTTGTTATAATTAGAAATTAGATGAAGAAAATAAGAAATTACGATTAGATTTAGGTGATATCCCTGGCTGACGTCTAAATTTGATAGTTTCATTTCGACAATAATAAGTTTAATAAAAAAATATACACCTTCAGTTATTACTTAACAGCCAATTAACGCAATATTTAGCTTAATTATCTTCAAAATACAAAATTGTTTATACTCATTGCAAAAATTAATGCTATAGACTCCTAATACATTGTGCAAATATTGACAGGAAATGAAGGGCCTGCTGGCCTAAAAGGGAACGAGGGTCCAATAGGAATGGCAGGTCCTCCAGGATCCCCGGGAAGTGAAGGTCCAACTGGTTCACCTGGTCCTCAAGGTAACTTGGGACCACCGGGCCCTCCTGGGGGATCTGGAAAGCCAGGTTTGCCTGGGTTACCTGGAGCAGATGGATCACCGGGACGGCCTGGTAGTCCTGGACAAATGGGGCCAAAGGGACATCAGGGGAATGTTGGCGTTCAGGGCCCTGTAGGTTTTCCTGGGTCTAGGGGTCAAAAGGGTGATGATGGAGCAAAAGGTCCGATTGGAGATAAGGGAGACAAAGGAGATCGTGGTCTGGACGGCGAAAAGGGCGAATCTGGCCAACCTGGCGAAAGAGGTCAAGCTGGTGTACCTGGAAGTACAGGTCCAGAAGGTCCAGAAGGTCCAAAAGGTTTTGAAGGCCCAAGAGGTAAAGTGATTTAAAAAAAAATTAATTTTTTTGTAAAATTTTAATATTTTGTTAAGGCGAAGTTGGATTAATGGGAAAATCTGGAGAAAAAGGAAAACAGGGAAATCCTGGCTTGCAGGGGTATCCAGGTGCATCCGGTGAGAAAGGTGATAAAGGAGCTACTGGTATTACTGGTCCCGCTGGTTTAAAGGGAGATCGAGGAAACCCTGGTCTACTGGGTATTTGAATATCTTCTTTATATGAACTTATGACTACGAAAATTTTTTAGGAGAAAGAGGGGAAACCGGGCCAAGAGGGTTCCGTGGTCCAAGAGGTAGGAGAGGCAACGACGGAGTACCTGGAATTAAAGGTGAAACAGGGCAGCCAGGCTCACCTGGCTCCCAAGGTGAAAGTGGGGTTCAGGGCCCAGAAGGTCCCCGTGGTTTTATTGGTATGCCAGGACCACCTGGATTAACTGGAAAAAATGGACCCAATGGGCCCCCTGGTGAACGTGGACCGCCAGTAAGTGATTATAATTTAATATTAGCTAACTCAATTCATACAGTTTAAGAGCCACCGATTCTGTTGAGCAAATATTGCACTTTATTAACTTTCTTCTGGAATTATATAGTTTTCTTAAAAGCATATTGTATTGTTTGCTTCTGTGCAAAATTTTATGCTATCAATTTTTATTATTACTTTTTCTTTATTTTTTTTCATCAATTTTATCAAAATGTTGTTGTTACATGTATCGATCTTTATTTTATCTTCTTTAATTTTCAAATACATAAGAAAACCATAAAAAAGTCAATTTCGCAAAAACTTTGGAATTTGGCTATTGCACATTTATAACAAAATGATTAATTTGAATAATTATAAACTTATATTTTTATTTTCAATTTTCGAGGGCGAACCTGGAAAACAAGGTGTTCCTGGGGAAGTTGGAGTTATAGGTCCTAGGGGAGCAAGTGGAGAGCCGGGTCCATCAGGGGAACCTGGTATTCCAGGTATAAATTAGCATATAAAATAATATAAACTCTAATACACTTCCAAAATTTTAAAAATGAAGGACTGCCCGGACTGCCTGGAGAAACTGGAAATCCTGGAGAACCTGGTAAAGAAGGGCAGCAGGGCAATCCAGGTCCAATAGGATTGTCTGGTCCGCAGGGTCCAGTTGGTTTGCCAGGGTTTCCAGGTGAAAGGGGTCATCAAGGTCAACCAGGGCTCCCGGGATTGAAAGGAGAAATTGGGCCTATTGGGTTACTAGGTCCCGTAGGGGACAAAGGCGCCACCGGAGAGTCTGGAAAAGATGGCCCTATGGGTCCAGAAGGTAAAACAGGTCAACGCGGAAATCCTGGTGCACCTGGCGCGAAAGGAGAACCTGGCGAAAGAGGTCAACCAGGATTAACCGGAAGAGATGGTCTACCAGGTTTACGAGGACTGACAGGACCACCTGGTAAGAAATAATATTTAATATTTGAATTGTTAAAGCATCATATTCTCAAACATATCCCACTAGGCCAAAGTGGGGCGCCTGGTGAGGATGGTGATAAAGGAGAAATAGGTCTGCCTGGTGAAAAGGGTTTAAAAGGAAATCAAGGAGAAACCGTAAATTATAATATTAATGTCGTTCTAAATCTTATAATTTTAAACACAACTTCCAAAATGTAGGGTTTACAAGGTTCAACAGGACCGCAAGGACTTCGAGGAGAAGTTGGTTTGCCTGGGCTACCTGGAGATAGAGGACCGCCGGGTGAAATTGGTCGCCAAGGAATTAAAGGTGAGGGAGGTGCTGTTGGCATCCCGGGTGCTTCCGGAAATCCAGGCGCGCAGGGTTTACCGGGTCCACCAGGTTTGAAAGGAGATAGAGGGGATGAGGGAGCTCCTGGCCTGATTGGTTCTCCCGGACTACCAGGTGAAACAGGTAAAAGAGGCCCAAAAGGTACAATTGGTGGTCGTGGTAAGCCAGGGGAACAAGGACCTCAAGGTATGTCATTTTGCCACAGGCACAACTTTCAAATCTAATGCCTATTAATTAATTTTCATAGGTCAAGCAGGTGAAGTAGGCCCACCTGGTCCACCGGGGCCAATTGGGCCCTTAGGGAAGGAAGGACAACAAGGACCCACAGGACCCAAAGGAGAAGAAGGTAAATCTGGTTTACCTGGACCATTAGGAAGGCCAGGGTCACCTGGTCCTGAAGGACCTAAGGGCGAATTGGGCCCAAGAGGTTTTCCAGGAGATCGCGGCGAACCTGGTATACGAGGTAATAAAGGTGACCCTGGGCCAGAGGGTGAAGATGGAAAGCCGGGAGAAGAAGGTCCTCCCGGCGAGTATGGCCAAATGGGAAAACAAGGTAGATGTATATTTCTGCAAATATCTATTATCTTACAATATTTTAATTTCATAATACAGGCGAACCGGGTCCTCCAGGAAAACCGGGACTTGAAGGGGCAGCTGGACCGCAAGGAAGTCCTGGCTCAGTTGGAGAAAAAGGGGAAAAAGGTCAATCCGGCCCCTTAGGTGCCATGGGTGTCGCAGGTCCACAAGGACTACCTGGTGCCCAAGGTATTTTATGATTAACATATTTTTTCCCTATATTTCGTTAAATTACACACATATGTGTTAGGTTACCCTGGAGAAAGGGGACCCACAGGAAGTGCAGGGGATGCTGGATCTCCTGGTAAACCGGGTTCCAGTGGACCGCCAGGTAAAATTGGAGAGACTGGGCCTAAAGGACCAAAGGGTGAAAGAGGAAGAAGGGGACCAAAAGGGCATAGAGGTGAGTTGGGTCTTGTTGGATTAAAAGGGGACCAGGGTGAAAAAGGTGACCGTGGTTTAAGAGGTCCCCAAGGTCCTGAGGGACCTAAGGGAGAACTGGGTCCAATGGGCATGATAGGACCTAAAGGAAATGAAGGTCCGCAAGGGCAGAATGGCGAAACAGGGCCAATCGGTCCCAAGGGAATAGAAGGAATAGCCGGTAAAAAAGGAGATGAAGGACCTCCTGGACCTCCTGGACCGCCAGGATTACCAGCTGAAGGTCCAATATTGCCTCCAGATCTGTTACTTCAATTGAGTGCAATTACAAAAGGAGAAACTGATTCAAAAAGACGTAAACGGGATTTAATAAATGTAGATACTTATTTCAATTCAGATATTAACGAAATTTTGCATAAATTATCGGAAGATGAAACTACTTCAACGTTTACAAATCAACGGGAAAAGGAAACTGACGGTACGGGTTCAAATTTTGTTGAGATGTATCATTCCCTCAATTCTATGCGCCAAGAATTAGATCGTATAAAAAAGCCCATTGGAATTCGAGAAAATCCTTCGCGAACATGTAAAGATCTACACTTTGCTCATCCGAAATTCGAAAACGGATGGTATTGGATTGATCCGAATTCGGGTATGCCAGACGATGCCATTTACGTATATTGTAACATGACCAGCGAGGGTGAAACATGTATATATCCAGATTTACACAGCTCAAAAGTGCCTACGATGCAGTGGCGCAAGGAGAATAGGATATTGGATTGGTTCTCCAATTTAAAAAGAGGTTTTAAATTTAGTTATGAGTCAGTAGGTTCAGTTCAAATGACATTTTTAAAATTACTGTCAAAAGAGGGCTACCAAAATTTTACGTTCAACTGTATAAATAATGTAGCATGGTACGATAGTAGAATAAAAAATTTCAATAATTCAATTAAATTAATGGGTGATAATGAAGTTGAAATAGCTTTTGAGGGAACACTGGTAAAACCTGTTGTGCTGTTTGATGGTTGTAAGGTATTTATTGCTTAAATAACTTGTCTCAAATTATATATTATATTATTTCAAATTTTTAGACTGGAAACTCTAAGAGTAAAACAGTTTTCGAAATAAGAACAAATCGCTTACATTATTTACCAATCAAAGATTTTTTTCCAATTGATTATGGTAAAGCAAATCAATCGTTCGGATTTGAAGTTGGACCGGTGTGCTTTAAATAGTCACTTATATTTTTATAAATTATAGCTTGTAGCTGTATGCTACAATTTTTCAATATGAAAATTAATTTTTTACTTCACTAGATAATAGATTTCATGAATATTGTCGTATAAAACATCTCTTATATTAATTAACTTTGCATTTTTTAAAAATCATGCTATTTTTCAACTGATAGTCTTAAAGTATTTTTAACTGTTATAATAAAGTGTACTTATATCATAAGCTTTTAAATAAGAATTTTAAATTATTTGTTGAGCTAGGCATTACCATTAGTTTTAAGATATATATTTAATGTATTTTACAAAAAACTATAGAGTTAATATAATTGTAAAAAATAAATAGAAAAAGTAATATTGCATTTTTAGAATGATTTTTTAGGTCCACCAAAACAATTAATTCGGTCAATTCAATTTAAAAAACATTAAACACAAAATTCATTTGTTTTCAAAAATATTAATTCTATAAAATGAAAATTTTAAAAGATGATAATATGCTTATAATAATAATTTCTTGTTTTTGCTATTTATATGTAACTGTTCTCCAAATTTCAATTGCCTGTTTTGCTAAAAAAATGTTAAAACAGATGGCAGCGTGTAGCATGATCCAATTACATTTTCATAATAAACTAATAGTTTGATTTGTTATTATTCGAAAAATTTTTGAATTAATAATATTTCTTAAAGCGCAATCAGTTCTCTGCGGTAAAAGGCTGAAGTTAATATTAAATTCATCAACAGAATAACTTTTATTTCAATTTAAAAATAAATAAATCTAAGTTCGATAATTATCAACTTTTTTGTTACAAACTTTTTAACTTAAATCTAATATAAAATGCTGAAATTATTAATTTTTTAATTATTTAAATCACAGTCATCAATTGTGCCTGCTTTTTCAAACAGTAACATTTCACATACGTACATATATGCATATTATGTTGGTCGTACAGAAAATTTTATGAATTGAATATTTTATAATACATACGAGTATGTATAACCTTTATTTTATTAATGTTGCTATGAAAATATGAAATATGTACTTTAAAAACTAATAAAATCAAAGAATGGGTAATAGATACACTTTTAATATAAGAAATTTACCACAGAGATGTACTACATATTCAAAAGCGAACATATTCTGCAAAAATTCGTACGACGTGCATAGTTTCTTAATAATTTTTATTTGTGTAAGTTTGAAAAAGTTATTCTTTTCTATACAAATTGGTTCTTCTCATTTATAAGATGAACATCTAGTGCAAGTCAGAGGCAGCAAAGCAATCTATACAGGGTGCTTCGCATATGGTGAGAAATAATTTCAGAGATGATTCTTTGAAAAATTTTCCAGCATCATCAGATAAAAAATTTTCTGATTTTTCCTGCTTGCAACCGCCCCCCCCCCCCCCTTCCTTCCACCAACCAACCCATACAGTTTTTTGCTGGGAATTAATCAAAGAATCATCCCTAAAATTATTTGCGACCTCATGCGACACACCCTGTGTAATATTACTACTGCTATTACACTATTTACTTTTTTTTATTTCTATCACTATTTTCTTTTTCCAATTTTATTATACAATATCTACCGTTACATGTTATTATTATTTATGTCATACAAAAGTAAATTTTTGTATTACTTTTCCTTTACTAGGTTATTTTTAGCATTTTTCCAAAAAATTTGTGGAAAAAAATGCTTATTAGTTTCACTCCGTCCGTCCGTCTGTCCGTGTGTCTGTTTACAAAACTTCTACACCCTTGAAGATAGAAAGCTGAAATTTTCTACGTACATAGATCTTTACTAGAAACTCATTTCCGTAAAAGAAAATTTTTGTCTATCTCTTCCCTCTTAAAGTTATATCCCCTAAAATCCTAAAAATGCCATGTCTTAACTATTTTTTGTAGTGAAACCATAAGCATTTTTAAAATTTTGCAAACACGGAAGAAAGCAGTAGATTGCTTCTCCTAAAACGGCATATCATACTTGAACTTTAAGATAACAAAGTGACCGTTAAAATTTACCGTTATCGAAAAATCAGTTTTTTCCAAATTTTTGATGCCGTTTATCCTTTAGACCCTAGGTTGTAGGTGTCTGAAATCTTCACAGCTTTTAAATTTTTTCCTCCACTCCTCTCAAGTTATCGCCTCTCAAAATTTGTAAAATTCGAATTTCTGGTACCCTATGATTCCGAAACTGCAAGCCTTCGCGAATTTCTATAAATGCAGAAAGCTAACAGTAAATGTCATGCCATTATAAAATATAATTATTTTTTTAACTTGCGCAATTAGCCCTTAAATTCGAGCATTATGTTAACACCTCTTAAATTTTTTTTTGGTTTATTTTAAAGCCTGGATATCCTAAATGTGTGCAATTATTGAAATATGTAGTTTCGTAATTTTTATAATGTAGTACTTAGCTAGACCATTTTTGAAACGGTCATACAAATCATTGGTTTGATCCAACTACATACAAATCATTGGTTTGAAGTGCTACATACAAATCATTGGTTTGATCCAACTTCATTAATATAAAATAATCGCAAATAAAAACTGGTTTAAAAACAATTCTCGGAAACTCGCTTGATTTGCTGTCAATCCAATATTTTCTCTGTAGCACATGCATAATAGAATATGAATGCATTCACTACATTAAAAATCAATTGCCACCGAGTAAAAGAAATATCTACATAAATAAATTCATAAAATTCGTAAGCAGTAAATTAAACATTCAGCTTTGGATTGCAATAAAAAAAATGAGTTTATGGAATAAAAACAGATGACTAATTTTAAAAAAAAACCCAAAACAAAAAAAGGTAGGTATGAAAGTTAATAAGCAAACGCATAGTTCGTTGTAAGTACATACATAGTTACTTTATGTATATATATACATTATACACACATATAGCTAGGTATATAGGTAATCAATATCTTTTCGCAAATCCAAAATTTACCTTGTTATATAATGCAATTAAACTACATACAACCATAAACTTATCGATATGATTTGATGTCGTTACGAATACACGCGTGAAAATGATAAAGCTATTAATATAATATTCCTTTCACTTTTGTTAGACATAATGTGGATTTGAAACTTATCTACATATGTACATATACATACATATGTATATAAGTATAAATTGTTGGGTAAGAAAATCAACATTATTTAAGTGTGTTCAACATTTAACATAAAATTTATAATGCTTAAAAGATATGTATGTATTAAACATAGATAACCAATTTCATTAAATTTTTTATGACATAAAACTTTGTACATACAAATATATGTATATAAGCGCATTATATATGTGTGTATTTAAGCGCGAGAATAAGATGTGCGATCAAGGACTTGATGAAAAGCAGTACGCATTATTTACACAAGTATTACACTTTACTCAGGGAGCGAAATTTAGTTAAATTCGTTAATTATTTAAGTACATCTTTAGAAAGTAATTGAATAGGCTTTTGCGCTATTAGTTGCCTGTTATTATTTCTGGTAGTATACATATTGTACATATGTATATAATTTTATAAATTGCGAAAATTTTATTTACATGTTGTGTTATTAAACGAGGAACCATGTAATACTATACAACAAAAAAAACTATACAAGCATGGAAGTAACACGAAACAAGCATTATTGGTACATGGTTGATGGTAGTCGTAAGTAATAAGAAACAAAAATATATGACTTTATTTTTTTATTTTATATTTGATCTCTCTCATAAATTTACAATTCAGTCTGCTAAAAACAATCATATAGAAAGTTACGCGTCTTAGTAAATTTACGCGATAAAAAAATAAAAATTTTTGAATTGAATAAAACTTATTTTTTTCAATTTATTTAAAGGCACAAATATATTTTAAGTGTTACGTAAAGTCTGAATTTTTTTTTAAATCAAAATGCAAAATAAAATTAATTTTAGTATGTTATTATTAATAATCATTTATGTAGAATCAAGTTTAAGTGAAACTACAGAATCAGTAACATCAACCAAATTATCAACTGAACATCAGCAAATAATTGAAGAAAATTCTAATAAAAATAGTGAAGAACAAAAACTGAATAAACCGCAGGCGGGTGGTTTATCACCAGGGGTATCCGATGAAGATTTAGAAAAACTATTAATGGATAAAAGATATTTAACGAGACAAATAAAATGTGCTTTGGGACAAGGTGCTTGTGATCCGGTTGGCAGGCGACTTAAAAGTAAGTTTCGTAAATATACAAAATTTACAAACATAGGTATACTGTTAGAATTATTATTTTAATGAGAACTTTAAAGGTAACTTTAAAATGTAATATGTATCACGTAAGTAATTATACCTATTTATTATTATAGATTAAAAATAATATTAGTTAATTTTTCCAAATCGTTTCTTGTATTACTAAATTACATTTCTTGTTTACTGATAGCAATTTTTCGCTTTAAAAAATCTTGACCCCTAATAAATTCTGAGTGTGATTGGCAAAAAATGTCATAAAGATATACATACATATATGACATATCAAATTTCAAGAGATTTCGTTGATTATTTACCTAGTCGAAAATTAAGTTTAAATTGGGTCGAATGAATTTTCAGTTTCTGGTACCTGATATTTCGTAAAAACTTGTGGTTCATTGATGCATCAATCAGTATTGATATACATTCATATTTGTGTATGTACAATATTTTAAACAAAAATCGTAGATTGTTTCCTTGTACTTAAATATGTATGTATATCAACAAAAATGTAAATTTGATTTGTAGTAAAGGTCAGTTGCGGCATGATTTCCTCGAAAAACTTGATGGTTCATAAAATTGTGAGATGGAAATAACTTACAAATAAAATATCAAGAAATTGAATTTTTTGAATGATATTTTAAAAAGTAAACAAAAACGTTAATAAATTTAATTTTTAAAATATTGTACGTTAAACTTTAGTACATTTAATGAAAATTTGGTTGCTTATTGCTGGTGTCTGATTCCATCAAAAATCTAGTTGGCTTCTTGTCTTTTTATTTATCAAATTTCAAGAAAATTTGTTTAATTTTTTTTTAAAATGGTGAAAATTTAACTTCCAAAAATTGATCCATCGGTTATGTTGTCAAAGTAAACTAAGATATAAATTTTCATCAAAATCGGTTGATCAAAAATTGAGATGCGCACGAATGCGCCGGCACACAGACGAACTTTTAAAAGGTCCGTATTTTGTTTACAAAATATAAAATATCTACTACAAAATATTTAATTTTTTCGTATGTACATATGTACATACATATATTAATTACAAAATTTTATTAAAGCGTAAATGCACTACGCTTTAATAATATTTAAAGGTTTAAATTTAATTTATTTATTATACAAATGTGAATTATAAATTAAATAGTACATACACAATATTATTACTTAAAATTATTTAATTTATTTTATTAAGGTTTGGCGCCTCTAGTACTGCGTGGTGCATGTCCAAAATGTACAAATACGGAAAAACGACAAATTCAAAAAACTTTGGCGTTCATTCAAAAAAATTATCCAAAAGATTGGGCCCGGCTAATGTCAACTTATACTGGATAAAATTATGAAAGATTGATTTCTTCTTGTTATTGTTGTTGTAGTTTTTTGGATATAATATACATACATACATATATCGTACATGTACATTCATATAAATAATTTTAAGACCAAATTTTTTAACTATGATTGAAATGAAATATTTAAAAAAAAATCACGAATTTTTGAATTCAACATAATTATGTATTTTTTTTATTTATATCTGATATTTTAAACTAATATAAAATAATATATACATACATATATGTAAAATATAATGTAAAATAATATATGTATGTACATGAATATATTGTTTACGTACTACAACTATAAGTTTAAATGAATGAATGCATTATGCTTTTGGTTTCCATTGTTTATTGTATTATCAATTTCATGTTAGATCTACAAGTTTTTAATTATTAAGTCAAGTTCGCGTGTTTCTGCAAATATTTTATAAGTTATTTTAAATAATATTTAGAAATTATTTTTTTTTTTGTTAATTTAAGAAAAAAATCTCGAAAGCCATGTATGTCTGTATATTAATATGGAAGAAATATTTATACATGTAAGTATATTATGTGAAATATTTATGAATTGAGAAACAAAAAAAATAAATATAATTACATATGTATAAAAATCAGAAAACAATCAACCGCCTTGCGCTTTGCGCTAACAGCGCTAAAATAAAATAATTTTGTGAAAAATAGCCTTCAGCTTTTGAATCTTGAGTGTGAGTTAAGTATATTTTATTTTAAACCTAACAATTAAGTTAATAATTTTACTGTTATTATATACAATATAATAGGCTTCATTTTATAAATTCTGACGCTGTAGGACTTTTCAGTTAGTGCAATTAAATACTAAATTGTGTTTAATTTAAAAAATTATAGTAATCATTGGATTTAAAAAACATCGGGTGCTTGTTTTACAGGCGATTGACGATTTATTGAGCAAGCATATACATGTACAAAAAAATGTGTGAACATACATACATGCATTTTTTGTACGTGTTATGTAATTAAAATTTCAACGTTTCCAAATTGCATTTGAAAATTTTAATATAGAAAAATTATTTACCCTTCCTTTATTATAAATATGACATTTTGGAAATATTAATTATAAATAATTATGTGAAAAATGACTTTATTTAAGTTCATGCATATTAATTATATATAATAAAATTTAAACCATTGGTATTTGAATTTAGTATTCACAATGTTATACATAATGCGTATGTGCATACTTTCATTGAAGTTTGTTTTTATTAATGCAAAACCAATAAAATTTTCAAACAATTTTTACCATAGAAACATACATAAGAAGGTTAAAGGGTGAACATTACTTGGATTATAATTAATTTGTCGCGGAAAAACTTGTTTTTGTTGTTTCTTTATAAATTTAATCCAAGTTGACACGATATTCCTGAAACTTTTGGAAATATTTTGTGGAGAAATAAAGGTAATGCAAATGCCTTTCATTTTGGGAAAAAAATTACATGTTACGAGTAATAAAGCACAATACTGCGTAATAAAGATTAAAAAAGTTAGTTTTTGTTTGAAAAGTACTTTGTTTTAGTTAATTTTTTAAGGTTTTGACCTCAGTTGTCATGATACGAGTAGACATGTTATTTGTAAAATTTTTCCCACATTATGTTATATCAAAATGAAGGTCAGAATATAGAGCTCTTCTTCATGTAAAAAAATGATAGATTGATAACGTGGAATTATGAGTAAATGACGGTTAAACGAAAATTTGGAAAAAAAAATTTAACAAATTTTGATTTTGCACTTGAATATCTCTGAAACTAAAAAAATCTTTGCAAACGCTGGTACACCGTTAGAATGTGGATTTCATTAGCTTTAAAATGAGTTTACAAGATTGGATTTACCTGTCACATTTCCCAAGTTATAAATAAAAATGTAAAAATAATACGGTTTTTGCATGTTCCAAATTTGAGGCCCCATAACTCGAGAACAAGGGCTTAAAAAGAAAAATGTCACTAGGTGTTTTTTGCTCGTCTGCATGAATACTATCACCCTGCTTCGAGAATACCATTGAGGGCCAGACACCCTGTATATTTGACTCATGACCAATTTAACAATGTTGCACCTATAAGCATTAAAAACATTTGGTATTACTTTTTGGGACAAAAAATACAATTCATAAGTAAGTACATATGTATGTAGCTTTGAAAACGATATTGTGTGTATAAATTAGGTTATAGGTACTTCAAATTATGTATGCATTTATAATATGAAAAAAGGTCATACCCTAGAAATGCATTCACCATCTTTTGTTTTACTAAAACAATTAAAAATTTGGATTGGGGTTATTAAAAAAATTCTTTGAGACAACTTTGAAGTTTAATTTGAAATACATAGCTATATATGTATGTACATATGTATGCATATATTTTAATTAAACCAAAACATTTTAACTTTGGTTTGTGAAAAGTAGAATTCATTTGATGTTTGTTTTTGGGGGAAAAGCGTTTTCTGAGCTACCACCTTATTATTTCATACGCCTAATAAACATAAAAAAAAATTTCTAAAGCTTTTGAAACGTTTTGGAATACAATTTTTACAATATTAATACAAATGTTGACGTTTGTTTGAAAATTTCAATTTAAAGTTCTGTGCAAATGTTAAGCGAGAACTGCGCTATATTTGTGTTTATAAACAAATGTTGCTAATCAATTTTGCTCATAAACATTGTTAGTATCAGAAAAGTTTTTAAATTATCATGACTAGCGCAGGTTAATCAGCTGTACTTTTTTTTTTACTAATTTTAGCAGTTCAGTTTTACAATTTTAATTGTTAATTCCTTTACTTCAATGCAACAAAATTTTTTTTTGTTTCATTTTTCTTTTTTTGTTTTTCTTAATTTTTATTTTTCCTGAAATAGAATTTTTCGCTATTTGGCCGAAATGAAAAAATTTTTTTTGCTAGCATTTTTTGTTTATGAACACAATACTGAACATTCAAAATAGCAAAAGTTTTTATACAACTGTCAAAAATATATTGTGTATGTATCACATTATTGCTTTGCAGTATTGCCCTTATGAAAATCTCTTTAATTTTCAACATTATAAACATTATTTTTATGCTGCATTTTAGGAAAAAAAAAGTTTATAACTAGCACTTTATTGCTGAAAATATATCCGATTTTATTTAATTGGTTACTTCTGACAACATTTAGAAAAAAATGTTTAAGAAAAGCCTGCTCGATTTTTTCGATACCCAATTTACTTTTATTTAACATATCCACTACGTATAGAACGCATTTAGGAAAAGTGTGCAATATCAAAAGCTTTTACTAAACTTTTTGGAATGTGATACTTTGTAGAGTTTACGTCGTAAGCGCATTATTGAAGTCACGGTATTATGTACATACATATATCTAGTTCATTTATAATTTGAATAAGAAAATCACCTGTTATTTTGCTTTGTTTCACTTTTTTTATTGTTTCTGTTTAATATTCTTTATTTTTATTTTTAATGTTCATATAAAATGAAACTAGAGAAACAAAAAATTTATAATATATAATTATACACACTTCTTCAAATTCAATGTAAATTCAGCGTATTAAATGCATTATGAAAGTTGTGGAAGTGTATACAAACTAGATCGATTAAATGTATACAAATGAGCGATTTTATTCTTAAATTTATTTCACTATATTATTATTAAAAATATTTGGACAAATGATTTTATTTTAAAATGAAATATAAATTCAATATTTTTTTAAAAAATCAAATTCTTCATCTAAAGGATCATCACTAAAATTATGATTTGTTTCGTGTCTACCATCATTAACTACACTAGTACCACCTCCACCTCCTCTACATTCAGATCTTCCTCCCGCATCAGCCGCCCCATCGTATTTTAAATCATATTTTAAGTCATACTTTAAATCATATTTTGAATCGTATTTTGAGTCATATTTCGAATCATATTTTGAATCGAATTTAGATTTCGATTTAGAGTTCCGTTCAGTAGTACGATAATGATGATGATTGTTGGATGGACTTGTTGAAGATAATGGACGACATTGAACTGATGGCGGTATTGGATCCTCGAACCGGGGGCATGGATGATCACCAATTGGTGAAGCAGATTCATAGCGACGTGAAAGCATGGTAAATTCTTGATGAGCATTACATAACATTTGTAAACGGTGTAATAGGTCCGTCTCCGGAATGTCGCGTAAATGTAACGTTCGTGCAACGGAAGTTCGAAATGATTGTAAATGTGATATTCTATGATTTGCTTCAGATAATTGTCGTTCAAATCGTGTTATATCTTCTTTTAAACTCTTTAAAAAGAAAACGTTAGTTTTAGTTCAAATTTCAAAGGATTATTTTATAATAAATTTGCATTGTATAGAGAAGTTCAAAATTTTAATTAGGAATTTACATTAATAAGAACTTCATCTCTGCATCTTCGTTCTTGGGACGTGGAAACTGCTGACCTTATTCTTTCTTTCGAAGCGGAAAGTTGAGCTAATAATTTTGATTTTTCACTTTCCAAATCGCATATTCTTGTATTTAGTTCATCAATTTTTCTAGCTCTTTCCAATGATTGTATCTAATTGTAATACAATAAACGTATCTATTAGATATAAAAAACTATTTGAAATTTATTTATGTTAATTTACTTTATGTTCAACCGCTTCTGAAAGTTGACCTTTTAAATCTGCTAAATGATTACGAGCATCAGCTAATTGCGAAGTTAATTTTTCAATTTTGCTATTAGCTTTTTTTAATCGACACATGGCTTCGTCGCGTTCGCCCTAAGAAAAAAACTAGAAAAATTCACGCCTTGAATTAAAAAATTCCAGCAAAGGAAACCTGTAAGACACATTTTCCACGAGCTCCTTCTTCTAGTAGTGCTATTTTACGTCTTAACAATTCTAAATGCAGATCGCGTCTTTGAACTTGTTCGCGTAAAACTCTTACACGTCTTTGAAGGTTATACATTGCAGAGCTCTAATGAAAATATATATAATAATTTAAGAGAATCTTGTTTTAAAAATTTTCCCACTTACCTCTTTCATTGGAATATCGTTGCACGATCTTTCTCTCCTTAGTTTTGAAGTGCCATGGTGATGATGATGGGAATGGGAATGTTGATGTGGATGCGAGTGGTGATGGTCATTATGACAATTCTAAATATGGAAACATATTCAATTTTAAATTAAATATTTACTATTGTAGATTCTAACTTTATCACAGAGGTGATGTTCATGATGAGATGTAACTTGTTCAGCTCTTTCTAAAAGACTCTCCGCCATTATTGTCGTATCAGTACCTGGACCTGGAGGTGTTGTACATTCATTCCAACTTAAAGCTCTTGATAGTCTTACTAAATAATCACTTAATCGAATATGTTCTGCCCTTAAGTCATGAATTTCTGCGTTAGCTTTTTCTAACATTTTCTCAAGTTCACAATTTTTAGCTTCTTCAGCACGAATTCTACAATTAAGTGATTCTATATGTTCTTTGTGCCGTTCGGATTCGACTGTTAATTGATCAGAAACTGTGTGAAGTTTCTAAATTAAATTATAATAAAAATTATGACAGTCTAAATAAAAATATTAATTAGTCAATTAAATACCGTATGAGTTGTTTGATTGTCAGTTAATATTTCTCTCAATCTATCTTTGATCAAAGTTTCACATGGTTCTTTGGCATTAAGTGTTCCAGCTAAAGTTCTTAAAAAACTCATTCTATCACTCTGAAATCGATCCATTGTATTCTGTAAACGTTGGCAACGTGATTCAAAACCTCTTAATTCCTCCTTTAATTTTTCATTGCATATATCTGATTCAGATAAATTATCTCTTGTCACTTGTAGATCTCTTTCATATTGTCTACAACGTCCTTCCAACTCGTGAGTCTGATTTTGTAAAGCATCTATTTGAGAATTCAAGCGATCCTTATCAGCACTGGTTAATGATTTAAAATTTGAAAATTCATTTTCTACAGCAGTCAAGTTATCACATGTAGATGCCAACTAAATTAAGAAGATTTTGCCAAATTTTTTCTTTATTTTTTTCATAACAAAATTTGAGACAAAATATCTTAATTTTACCTTATTACGAAGACGATGCAGTTCGGCAACAACTTCCCCAGCTTTGCCAACAACGCAGTCTGGTGAGAGATGCACTGGATCACAAACATCGATTTCCAAACATACACATAATTTTCGTAACAATTCATGTAACTGTGCTTTAATCTGCTCTTTATTACCTTCCTCATTACTTACATCAACTTCTAATCTGCGAATACACCCAAGGAGTTCCTTATTTTTCTCTTCAAGACACCGTTTTTCACCAGTTAAGCTTTTTATTGTATTTTCACACCGTTCTTGAAGACTGCGTTCACGCGTTTCAGCTGCTTGTAAACGACTTTGTAATGAATGTATATGTGCAGCTTGACGAGCTGTTTGAGCGCGCAGTGACTCACATTCTGTATCCTTAGCACAAAGAGCGCTTTTTGTTTCAGTTAACTATAATAAGAATGAAAAAAATGTTAATTTTTCATCATACAAACTTAAAGAAACTCATCCGTGATTAAACATGATTTCTTTTTTTCATAATTTAGAATGAAGAAAATGTAAAGACAACTGAATATCTTTACTACAGTATTTATGAAATTTACCTCAGTAACCAGACGGTCCCTTTTATAGGATATTGCTGCCAATTCACTACGCAATGTTGTTACTAAATCTAAGGAATGGCTTACATGATCTGAATGTGCAATTGTGGTTGCCGCACATGATGAATCAAGCTACATTAAAAATACTTTATTCTAATTAAGACTAGATAATTTAAACATATAAATTTTCCATTCAATAACTTATAAGGTATAAATGCATGGAAGAAATTATAAATACATAAATATCTACATATGCATAATACAATATGCGTACAATCACAGGCATCTTTATATTATAGGAGTCTATGGTACAATGCATAATACAAAATGCATACATATGCATAAAATAATACATAAGCGTAATTTTAATAAAGAACAAGTGTTATGTTAAAATTTTACAGTCAAATTATACAAAATTATGTGTGCATATTTATAATATGCCCAAAATTATGTTCATATGTATTTTAACAATTAAATATACATTAAATATTAAATATAAATTAAATAATTGTAATAGCATAATTATAATGCACTTAACTAAAAAATATGAATAAATTTGTAAATAAGAAGTAAATTATAATTATATGAAAAAAATAAATGCAAAACTGCAGTAAAATATCATAGGAGGACTTCAAATTTTCAATAACATTTTGAACACTTATATTAAATATTATTATTTATTTAACTTCGAAAAGGGCTTAAATCGCCATATATATACATTTATTAATTGAAAATCAAAAGCTCGAACTGTTCGTATTGATTTTTTTATGAAATTTAAATAGTTTGCGTCTGCTACGTCTTTCAGGTAACTTATTCGTATTAATTTCAGTAAATACTATTTTATTTTATTAAATAGCTAAATCTATTAATGCTCGCATTGATATACGAATAGATATTACAGTAATCTTTGTAAAAATCAGTGCTCCAGTTTGCAGTTTTTTGGATTTTAATGTACAAACGAAACAACAATGTTAAAATTAAAAAAAAAATACAATATTAATATAGTTTTTATTCATGTTTAGGAGAATTTTTTTAGTTAAAAAGCATAAGATATGTAAGTATAAAATTAGAGAGGACTTAAAAATATGTAAGTTAATAAGGTTTTAGTTAGCATTATTATAAATATGTTAATTCTATGTACATAAGTATACATAATAATATTTTCGATAAAAATTGAAACGTACAAAGTGATGATGATGTGGTGAAAGACCTGTTGTTGAATGACCATGTGAATGACCATGTCCTGCTATCGTGTGACTACCACCATGATGATGATGATGATTATGCTTCGACATTTAATGATTTTTATGTGCAAAAAAAAATTATCGCAATTTACCTCGTTGTGTTAATTTTTTCTTCTTCTATATAAGGGGTGTTTTAAATGCATAAATAAAAATTTTATGCAAATTCACACTTGATCTTTCTATTTAAGTTAAGACACATATAATAAATGATCGACTTTTTTAATAGCACTAAGAAAAATTTTCAATTAAATAGTTTAATAGACTTTAATTCTTATAGCTATGGTGGAGGTTGCTACAGTAAGTTTACCGTTATTTATTGTATTATATTTTATTTGCAGCTTATACAAAAGCAAAACATTTCGTTACAAATCGTTGTAATGGGAAGGGGTAAAAAAAATTAAACAAAATGAAATGAAACTTTTACCACTTTCAACGAATTGCTGCACTTAACTAAAATATTGTAGATTATTATATTGTACGGTAGAACCAGAATTTTCATATTATGGAATTTCTTTTGTTTAAAAGTTTACACATTTAACGTTTTTTGTTGTTGTTATAGTTCTTGCTCTAAACATCTTTTTGTATTGAAAAATATATGCACAAAATTTGTTTTACATTTCTTCATATAGGTCGTTTGCATGGTATCCAAAAATTAAAAAATTTGTAAAATAAACGCTAACTACGGGGTCGCTAAAGGAACGCTTGAAACTATTTTGTTATTATAACAAAATAAATTTTAATTTTTTTTTTAATATCTACAATATTTATACTCATTTTCGATTATCAATTCATTTAAACGAGCATATCAATATTATGGCTTCGAAAAAAAACAAAGACATAAAGTCAAAGAAAAAAGTTTATAAAATATAACATTATAACAATCATGAAAATTAAAGAAAAAATAAAAAAAAGGAATTTTACGTAACTATAGTTAAGCATATTTTAATAGGATCGCATGTAAAAAAATAATTGAAAACATTTTACTCATTTAAATACGGGTTATATGCTACTTACCTACACAAAAACATATATAATATACGAATACACATGAATAAAATGATATAAAAATGCATATATACATAATATAATAACAAACCTATACATATGTGCCTAAATATGTACATATGAATGTATGTATGTGAATGAATGCGACACAGGCGAGAATACGATTATTTTTTAGTAACTTTTTTAAAGCTTAAAAAAATGTTTGCTTTGCTACATAGCTATGCATTTCATATTACAAAAATGACAGTCAAATCTTTTTCTTTTTGATAAGGACTTTTTTGCTTTTATGAAATTTCAATTTGAATCGAATTTCCTTAAAGTTAAAAATTTTGGTATATATACTTAAAAACTTTAAAAAATTTTGGCCTACATAAGTATATAAAATAAGTACATAAAAAAACATTTTTTAAATTAGACTTTTAGTTAAAACTGGACTGAAACAAATTTCTTGCTTCCTATAAAAAAAAAAACGCCGTAAATCGAGTTCTAATGTTTCATTTCATAAAAAGTGAAAATTCCAGAACTCCTACAGATAACATAATATATGGCCTTTAATAAGAAAAATTTTTCTTTTGGCATTTTTCTAAAAAAATTAAAAAAAAAGTTCTTATTAGTATAATTCAGCCTTTTCTTTACATTCTTGAAGACAGGAAGGTGAAATTTCATACGCACATAGATCTTTACTAGAAACTACAACTGCTCCATTTCATATCTTAACTTTAAAATAACGAAATGACCATTAAAATTTACCGTTACCTAACATTCACTTTTTTTCAAATTTTTGATGTCGTTTTTCTTCTAGACCTCAGGTTGTAGGAGTTTGAAATTTTAGCAGTTTTTAGACACTAATAAATAGTCAATTTCGTTTGAAGAAAATTTCTAATTAATTTCTTCTAAAAAGTTTTTTTCTACCTTCACCTTCGCTTAAGTTATCGGTCCTCGAAATTTTTAAAATTTAAATTTTAGGCCATCTATATTTCCAAAACTGCAAGCAAATTTCTGTAAATACTTACAGTAATACTACTTAACTCACGCAATTAACTTCTTAAATTCGAGCATAATATTAATGTCTCTTTAAATTTTTTTTTTATTTATTTTAAAGATTGCGTGAATGACTGCGATTTTAAAGATGTATATGACTGCGATTTTAAAGATGTATATGACTACGATTTTAAAGATAGATTTTAAAGATTCATTCTAAATGTATACGATCTTTGAAATATATGAATGAGAGTAATATAAATAATGTAGTATGTACATTGATTGTTTTTAAAAACTGCTGAAATTTATGTATTTTCACTTGTTAAAGCAAAAAGTGCTATTTTACAAACCATTGGTTTCGCTTAACTTTATAAATTCAGTATGTTATATAATATGGAATAGTGTGTTTTTTGAAAATTACATGCTTTGTACCTTTATAATCTCTACTTGTGAATTTTCCGATGTCAATACGATTTTTTCATAATCATGTATACAATGATATATAAATATCTATAGGTAGATTTTTTCTTGAATTATTTAATGTTGTTTACATTATTGGTTGAACCAGTGCTATTATTAGTTCGAAGAGAATGCTTTAGTTATTTACATATGTGTTTTGATTCAAGAAAATTAAATTTATTAATGTATGTATAACATATGTTAAACAAATGTTATAATTAACTCGCCTTTTATTATCATGATAATTATTGTAAAAATACGATAATATTGAAGATAAGTTTTTTGAAAAGTAATATTATCAAATCAGAAACTAAAAGTAACATTTACTTTTTTCGATTATTTTCATATGTGTTCATCTTATTTAAAAATGACGATTTTAAAGTAAAAATGAACATTAAAACGACAAAACAAAAAAAGTTTTTTTTAAGGAAAATATGCAGCAAATGGAAGCAAATTGCACTGTTGCAGTGAATTTGAAAATTTAATAATGAATATATCATTTTAGATAAAAGGTTATAAAAGTTCACAAATAATTTGGGAAAACACATTATAAAACAATAAAAATTCGCATAAATACATATGTACATGATAAGTTACGTCACTAATAAACATATTTATTAGACAAGAGAATAATAATCATAATCTTTTATGAATTTCTAAAAAGCCCCTGAGTTTTTTTAAATGTATGAGAATTTTACTATAATATGTATACTCACAAAATCATTACACAATATATCAAAAATTTCCCAATCCTCTGATGTATTGCCGAATCTTTCGCATAATTCTTTTCCCATATCTCATATCCTTATAAATTTTACATTTGAATATAAATATATAATTATAATTAACTAGTTTCTTTACTAACAATCACAATAATTTACAAGTGAAAAAAATATACTTATGCACATATTTTTGAATTTAAATTTTAGTTTTTTAGAAATATATTTGTGATTTAAATAAAAAGGATAATTTAGTCTTGAGTTATCACAGAAAAACAAATAACGTGCTACTAAACTTTTGTTTTCCTTTTTTTGTTGTTGTTTATGAATTTAATAATTGACTCGCTTATTCTACTTAAATTTAAACTAAAATAACTAAATAAAAAATAATATAATACTCTTGCCTTACGTTATAGCAACGATTTTCACCATAGCATACACATGCTTATAAGTAAAAAAACCGGTATGTTTAAAATATTAACTTAACAATTTACCATAATTTTAAAGTAAACAACATTTTTGGTAGCTATAAACTGTAATATCTTCTAAAATTTCAAATTCAAAAACAATGATGGAAGGGAACCGTTGCTATTTACAAATTATAAATTTACAGCTAAACAACAATAAAAGATTTTTTCGAAAATATTAAGCGTTATAAAGGTATTCACAAAAAAATAGGGAAATAATAGGAAACGAGAAAAAATAGAGTTGACCTTGTCAACTCTATGATACCCGTACGAATTTGTTATTCTATGTGCGAATAAGTAAGACATAACTGACTATAGGACAGACAATGATTTTAAGTTGCCGTATTACCATATTAATTTATGCAAAATTTCAGTACAAAATTTCATTTCAAAATATTGTGTGTGCCAAACTACTATTGAACTCGTACGGCAGCTACCAGAAAGAGCCAAGAAATTTTAATGAATTTTATCAAGCACATCGGCCCTACTAATATATTCGCTTGTGTGAAATATCAATATTACACCTTTTATAGTTTCTGAGATACAGCCAAATAACTTTTAAAGTTGTACGACAGCTACCAGAAGGAGCCAAGAAATTTCAACGACTTTTAAAAAACACATTGGCCCTACTAATATTTTCACTTGTGCGAAATTTCAATACCATAGCTTTTATATTTTCTGAAATATAGCCAAATAACTTTTGAAGTTGTATGGCAGGTACCAGAAGGAGCCAAGTAATTTCAACGATTTTTATCAGACACATTGGCCCAACTAATATATTCGTTTGTGTGGAATTTCAATACCACAGCTTTTATAGTTTCTGAGATATAATCAAATAAATTTTTAAGTTGTATGGTAGCTACCCGAACCGGTACCCCGATCATGTCCAATTTAAATAGGGTTCTGGCACTTACTAAAATAAATCATTTGTGAAAATTTGTTGAGCTTAGCTCAATTAGTTTTTGAGTTATCGTTGGGACGGACGGACGGACGGACAGACAAAGCTAAATCAACTCAGAATTCGACGCTGATCAAAAACATACACTTGAGTCTATATCTAAGACCGTTATTTCTTAGCGTTACAAACGGTAAGGAAAATTTAGTATACCCTTCGAACATACGTTCGTACGGGTATAATAAAAGCAAAGCATGAAGTTGTGAGTAAAATATGTGAACATACATAGTACAGGAATGTTCAGAACTAGTGTTAAAGCTTCAGAATAGTGATTACCGTGACGGTCACTTTCTAAAAAATACTATTCAGCCTATTAAAATTAAACGGCTCAATGGTATTTTTGTGACCGTGAGAAGCTTATATAATATGTATTTACATAATTATATATTTATATAATTTTACACAATTTTTCTAACTCAAGACTACCTACAATTAGTTTAACATTTAAAAGATAAAAATTAAACGAATATGTATGAATCGTATAAATGAACTTTCCATTACGTACATTAGTTAGTCTACTAAATTTTTGTTCATTATACTTACGTATGTATACTCGTATATGCATGTATGACCTTTCATAAGCATATAAGTGGGAGACATAAACTATAAAAGTTTAACAAATTTGTAAAACATTAGAACGATTCAAATTAAAAAAAAAAAAAAATTATTTAAAAAAAAAATAAAAAAAAAATTACGCCCGAGCAGGGACTTGAACCCTGGACCCTTGGATTAAAAGTCCAATGCTCTACCGACTGAGCTACCCGGGCACTTATTAAATTTTGTTTCTTATATATTTTCTTCCTTACATGAATTTTTATATTTTGATAGCATTGTACAAAATGCAAAAAAAATCTTTAAATTTTAAAAATAATGTCTTATTTCATTTTTAATATTTAATAAATAATAGGTACCTATACATATTATTATAAAATAAAATAAATATTTGTTGTATGAATTTTGTAGTGATAAGTGAGAATTCCTAAAGATTCTACAGTTTTTATATTTATTTTAAATTATTAAACAATTGCAATGATAGCTGATGGAGTAGAAGAGTTGTTGAATGTTTAAATACTACTCAATACATAAAATTTCTCAAATACATGTACATATATGTGTGTGTTTAATATACTTATCACGTATCATGTTTACATAGATATAAATAGATATAAATAGATATAAATACATATCATGTTTACATAGTTAATAGCATACAAATTTTGAGCAGAATCACTTGGATTGAGTATGTTCTTTCCATGTTAACTACAAGATACTTAAAGTAAAATCAATGCATGTTGCTTTTACTCACGAGTTTTAGCTGCTGAATGTACATATGTATGCATATATAGATGCATACATATGCATATACATATGTACGTACATATATATATGTACATATTATGTAGATTTTTAAATTTTACGTTAAATAAGATATGAGTTTGGATGGTAGTTGATATCTTTAAGTTTCAATTACAAGCTATTTAAATATATGTAATATGTATATTTTTATACAGAAAATTATATGATTCTAAAAAACCCGTACGTCTTTCTAAAAATGCCTTTCAGGCCACCATGTTCTGATAGTAGAAATCAAATAATTTTCAAATTTGTATGAAAATCGCAAAATTTGTTGAAAATTCTTTGTGTGAAAGAAATTGACTAATACATACATATTTTTAATTTTGGTTATTCTTATTATACCTACATATTATTTGAATATTTAAAGTTTAAATTTAAAACGAGAAAACTCCCGTACGAATTTGTAATCCTTTAATCTCTATGTACGAATAAATATGCCATAACTGAATATGGGACAGACTATGACTTTAAGTTGCCGTATGTGCTTTTCAGCTACCGGAAAGAGTCAAGCAATTTTAACGAATTTTATCAAACATATCGGCCCTACTAATATATTTGCTTGTGGGAAATATCATTATTACAGCTTTTATAGCTTCTGAGATATAGCCAAATAACTTTTGAAGTTGTATGGCAGGTACCAAAATCAGCCAAGTAATTTCAACGAATTTTATTAGACACATTGGCCCTACTAATATATTCGTTTGTGTGAAATTTCAATACCACATCTTTTATAGTTTCTGAGATATAGCTAAATAAATTTTGGGTTCTGGCACTTGCTGCAATAAATCATTTGTGAAAATTTGGTGAACTTAGCTGAATTAGTTTTTGAGTTATCGTTGGGACGGACGGACTGACAGACAAAGCTAAATCAACTCAGAATTCGAAGCTGATCAAAAACATACGTAAGTGATGATTTGACAGGTTCGTCCGCTTGGACTATATGTCCAACTTTTAAAATTTAAAAACTGACAAGGTATGCAAAAATTTCTGTTCTATGTACTTTTGTTTGGAAAATTTCGCTTATAAAATGTTTCAAATGGCAGACTGAAGAAATCAAAGAATAATTAATTTACTCGTAATTAATTACATTTACGAGTAAATAACTCGTTTATACATGTTTATAACTATAACTGTAAATAACACTTAATCCTAATCCTACAAACTAACTTAAAACTAAATTAATACTACGAATTTAAGAACCAATATTCGTTCCGTTTGCATTTTTTATTTGTGTGGCAGCTATTCAAACCTGTCAAGCCATTAAATTAAAACTTCAGGAATATATTGGACCCGTAATTGGACACAAGACTGCCAAAATTTATCATGTTTTGGAATATTTTAAGTTAACTTTTGGAAGCAGGGATATTATCTGACCTATGGAAGCACGGATATTATCTGATCCAACGAATTAGAAATACTAAAGGAAGAAGCATCTTAAAAAAACAATGAAGCCAAATTTTCTCTAGTTTTCTCTTTCTTTGCTCCGAGAATTGTCAAAGCCGTAACAGGGCGTATTTATTTTATTTTCTTATCTGGCCTCTTCTATAAAATATGTGTAATTTGTAATAATGATGAGTTAAATTTTTTTTTAAAGTAAAAACTAAAAAATATTTCAAATTTGGAATTATACACCTCTTTCTCCTTACAAAGCTTTTTTCTTCTTTTTCCATTTTAAATTTTTTTTTCTTGGATGAAAAAAACAACTTGTGAAAGTTTGGTGTCGATTGCATTGTTCAGTTTTGAGTTATCATGCGCTCGGACGGACGGATTATATGTCTAAATCAACGCAGAATTTTACGCTGAGCAAGAATATATACATATCTCCATACCGGAAACAACCCCTTTAAGTGTTTACAAACCCCGTACCAAAGTTAATATACTCTTCACAAAGGTACAGGAGGGTATGAAAATTTTTTTTACATTTTTTGCACTTTTTACTTAAATTAAAAATAAATCTGATGTGATCAGCATATAACCGACCGCAATGTGAATTATCTAGTTAAGTGAAAGTGTTACAAATATTATAAAAATGCCTGTTATAATACTTCTTTCAAAATTTTTGGGCATTAGTATGCTTATAGTTAACATACCTAGAAAAATGTAAGCTTGACTCTTAGTAGAGTTTTTCCTTGTGCTATCCAAATTAACAAACAGAATTCAAATAAAAAATTTGAAGAAATTCTATCAATTCTTTTCGTAGATATGATAAAAAATGTAAAATCAGCCCTCAGATCAGTTTCTGAGCCCTAATCTTTCCAAAAAATTTATATGTTCATTGTTTTAATACGAAAAATTTA